ACTACTCCACTAGGTTAGGTATCCAATAGGTTGCACTCACTATTCCATGTACACATATTCCACAAGGTTAGGTGTATCTATAGGTTCCACTCACTATTCCACTCTCACTATTCCACTAGGTTAGGTATCCAGTAGGTTGCACTCACTATTCCACTATGCACTATTCCACTAGGTTAGGTATCCAATAGGTTGCACTCACTATTCCACTATAACACTGTTCCACTAGGTTAGGTATTACACCAGGTTACTTCACAAATTGACACAGACTATATAACCTGTTTTAATAATCTAACTCGTATGGAATTCCTATAGCCCTGTACCACTAGGTTTGTTTATTCAAACAGGTTATTCTCTACCAAAATTGACACTGACTAAGTAACCTGTTTTAATAATCTAACTCGTATCCACTCACACCTATTCCACTAGGTTTGTTTATTAAAAACGCACAAAACGCACTTTTCACGACACCCACTGCACGCACGGCACTCATAGACACTCCACGGCACTCCCACAACACTTTCACGGCACTGCACGGCACGCTTTCACCGATTTTTCCACGTTTTTTACGATTTTTGCAGCACCGCCAGCACGTGCGTCGGAGCGTGGGTCCGCCATCTTGGAAAAGGCCGATTCACGCTACCGCATCCCGGATTTCGGCTGGCACCACGGATTTCGGTTGGCACCACTTATCTGTTGCGCACTTCCGGTTCGGGAATTAGGTTGGCAGTCCTTCACTGACGTGTTATACGTTAAGTTGGCACTTCTGCAGATTCTGACGCACGATCATCTTGGTTTCCGTTGCTCAATGACTGATTATTCTTCGCAAAATTACATTCATTTACACTTTTCGACTCGCTTTTCTACAGCCAGAGCCGTCTCGCTTCGCGTTGCTGCGTCACTCATAACTGGTGCGAACATTCCACTGCCTCGGTCAAGCGCCTTTTAGGTTGGCAGTTCTGAATTGGTGTCGTGGATCAATTTTTTCATGTTGGTAGTCCTTCTCTACCGCTGTAGCCGTCATGTTGGCAGTGCTGCGGTTACTGATGAACGACCACGCACGACCATCTACATTGCATTTCCTCCGTGACTCTACGGTGTTGGCAGCATTGCATCAGTGCTAAGCGACGTTCGGGTTGGCAGGACTGAAGTAGCGTTCACATCTGGTCCACTAATAATGTTGGCAATCCCTCACTGCCTCCATGCCTATCGTGGTGACAATTTTCCCGACCATCTCGCTTCCCGCTGCTCACTGACTGACTCCTTGAAGTTTTCAATACTGCCGAATGTCGCACCACACTTATATTGTCAATCTTGCCCTCGCGCAATTTCCATCAGGTTGGCACTCTTGAGTTGCTGCTTTCTGGCGCACAGCCGTCTAGATCGCCGATATTCTGTGAGCCAATGTAGTTGGCAGTACTTAGGTAGCGATTTCTTTCTGTTCGCCAATTTCGTTGGCAGTCTTTCCTTGTCGCAATTTGCATACAGTTGGTATTTCTGCAGTGAGGCTCGTTGACCATCTTCGTTCCAGGTACTCTCGGACTCACTGAGGTTGGCTATTCTGAATCGCGGCAATGTATTGTTGCGATTCTTCTTGTTGAATTTAGGGATTTTGTTGGCGAGGTTCAATTCTCAAGAAGCGCTTGGGCGCTTGGTTTAATTCCGCGATTTAATCAAACAACAAAAAGGAAAAATAAATAAACTAATTGGAACTTGAAATGAATTAAATAAACTAAACAACTAAATTAAACTTTTTGAACTTCTTTAATGAACTTTAACAAAGATTAACTTTTAAACTAATTTAAATGAAACTGAATTAACAAAACGAATTTTAATATATTGCTCTACTAAGTGAAGAATACGTGCGTTACTTTCTAGCTCTGAGAATTGAATTAATAAATCAGATTTCTAATTAAAAATCAAGGATAATTATGAATTTGTTTTACAATTTGTTTCATTTTCTCCAATAAAATTAATATTTATAATTAAAATGTTGTTAATTGGCTGCCTTATCATCCTTCACTTATTAGATAAGAGTTTTTACAAGTAGTCTTTGATTTCAGCTTACAATTTATCAAATACACTCTGTGTTCTTCTTCAACTGCACCTTTTTACAATCTAAATTTTGCGCGTTTAAGTTACATATTTTTGTCGCTAGATTGCGCCGCTTTTACATTATGTTTCGCTTCTTCTATGTTCATACAGAATTTAATTAGCAACGAATCCCAGCACACAACAGTATCTTTCATTTTGGCAGTTTTCGTTACCTTTACTCTTTGATGTTGGCACCACCGAAACACCCGTTCACGCCGTTGCGGCCAAAGCGCGGACCATGGATAAAGCGCGGACCATGGTGAGCCGCCGAGGTTTCGTTCACATTGGTGCGTTTGCCCGTTCACATTGATGTCCATACCTATTCACATTGATGTCTATACCCGTTTACATGATTGCCTCTACCTATTCACATTGATTCCTCTGTCCCGTTCACATTGATGTCTATGCCGATTCACATTTCCTTCGTTTCGTTAAAATACCGCTAAATCGATTTCTTTTCTTCTTTTTTGTCGCTTTTTATTCGTTTTCTTTGATTTTCAGAGGCTTTTCGGAATTTCCTTGGCTTCTTCGAGGTCGTTTCGAATTTGAATCGATTTCTTTTCTTTTTTTTATCGCTTTTTATTCGTTTTCTTTGATTTTCAGAGGCTTTTCGGAATTTCCTTGGCTTCTTCGAGGTCGTTTCGAATTTTCTTCGTATTTCTTGTTTTAGAAGTTGGCTATTGTTAAACGCGGCAGTTTTTCTCGCAGGTTGGCAGCGTCGAATTCTTTAGTTTTCGAGGTTGGCAGCAGCGAAACACACGTTCACGCCGATGCGTGCGGAGTGCGGACCATGGAGAGCGACCGAGGATCCTTTCACATTGCTGCCTGTACCTTTTCACTTTGATGCGTACACCCATTCACATTTCCTTCGTTTCCTTAAAGTACCGTTAAATCGATTTCTTTTTTTTCCTTTTCATCGCTTTTTATTAGTTTTCTTCGATTTTCCAAGGTTTTTCGAAATTTTCTTGGCTTCTTCGAGGTCTTTTCGAATTTTCTTCACATTTTTTGTTTTAGATGTTGGCTATTCCTAATCGCGGCAATTGTATCTTTCTCATTAGGTGGTATTTACGCTTTCAGGTTGGCGCTTCCGCGGACATATCGTTCGCGGGTCGGTTATCACGTTGGGTTCCTTCGCTGTCTTCGTACTCATCGGTTGGCGATTCTGCGGTAATGCCGAATGACCATCTTCATTTCGGATGCTCTGTCACCGAACGCAGTTGGCAGTTTTGGACTTACCTTCAGAGTTTCAGGTTGGCGCTCCTTCGCGCATGACTCATCTTGCTTTAATATAGTCTATGATTCACTAAGGTTGGCTGTTCTGATTCCGGCCTGCATGTTCGCTACTACGAAGGTTTGTCGTCGGGACAGGTTATGAATGTCAAAACAAGGTACTGTTTATTCCAATTATTTTATTTAGTCATTTAATTACGTTATTTCATCTTTTATATACATTCGTCTGCCGGACTATCCTAAGCTACGTGTTACGGGATGAAACGATCGTAACGGATGGACCAAGGAAATAAATATAAGGTAAAGTATCTCTCGAACACAGACCAAGATAGCACCGTTCCTAATTTCGGCCATCGGCACAGCCAACGTTCCTATAAAAACTATTCCACGCGTACGTAACCATACTAATTGCCTTTTACTCTTTTTACGGAGACGTTGTAGGTCCTTTCGGTTTGATCATCATCGTCGCGCGTCTTAAAGTGTAATCCCAACCTCTCCACCGAAACCACACGATACCTTTGAATAGAAAAAGAAAGAATAAAAAAAAAAAACATTTTTATATACCTGTTCTTTTGCTTTTTCAGCCGTAACGCGACAGAAACCGAGTACCTTGCCGGGCGGTTAAATCTTGAGGATCGTTCAGGTAAAGACCGTTTAATCCGCGACCGCACGATTTCCACCACCATCCACCTTTCAGCATGGAAGCGCAATTCAACGATGATCTGTCGTTGTCCCTGAAAAAAAAACAAATCCAAACGAACTAAGTAAAAGAGTTTAAATTACTCTTTCGAGAAAAAAAAAAAAGGAAAATTTTTACCTGTTGTAAGTCGAAAACGGACTATTGTTCGAACCGTACCAGGGATCGTTCAACGAATCACCGGCATTTCCATCGTACCCATCGATTTCTAATTTATAGTATTCGCCTTCCGAATAGATTTTGAAATGAGAATATTGCGCGTACCTGACGAAAAAAAAACAAACTTTTAAACTTACGACTTGCTTCGCTTACAAATTCCCTACGCGTATTCTTTACTTTTACCTTTTGTTACCTTCAAAATCTTCCAATTCCACTCTCAGCATGTAATCTTCGTTATTCGTTAACATATATATATTTTCATTGCCGAGCCAAAATTCTCTAGCAGGATCCCCGAATCCGTTCTTGTAATCTGCCCAATCTCGGTTGAAATTTTCCCTTGGTTCTCCAAAATCGTCTCGCCTTTGAATTACCTGCATAATACCTCGATCAAACGTCGCTCCGTTCTCACGATTCGCATTGCTTTATTGTCGTCCTTACCGTCCAACCTCCTTCCGCTATATCTTGTTCGCAGTAAACTTTCAGAAACCAGTACGTTGTCCCGCGTATCTGAAGGTAATACACTCCGCTGTCTCGCATACCCGCGTTCATTAAATCGACACAGGAGTACCCCTGCGATAATATCGATGATCGTATTAACATTTTAACGAACGAGCGGAAACAATCTTATCGCGGATTACCTTAACATCCTTGTAACTCAGAAATGCGTCGGTAGTAAACGTTGAATTTGCCGGACTTGGTTTGTTTTTAACACTCGGAAATATAACGCCACGATTCTTTGCCGAAGATCGTTGCGTACTGGAAGACGATCCGTTTATTCCAGGTGCGACGGTTGCGTTCATCGAATTGTTCGAACCACCGGCGATGCTGGTATACGAACCGTTTAAGCTGTTCGACGGCACGGTATTCGAAGACGTCGACGACGACATCGACATGGAAACGGACGAAGAAACAATGGTAGTCGGTGTTATCGGCGAAGCGTTCGTTTCGGTTGTCGTCTCTTCGGATAACCCGATGTATCTGAATCGTTGAAACGCTTCTTTATTGACTGACACTACTTTTCAATATTTTCAAAAGCTTCTGCCGCATCCGGGCGAATGATAAACGATCAAGAAAGAAACTAACCTACTCGAATCGTATTCCACCAGTCGATCGATCGTCGGATCGAGTAATAGTTCTGCGGGAATAGGACGTTGACCGATGCTAACCGAGACATCGTCCCCCTGTTTTCGCAATCTATTCTCGACGTCTTCCAGGTTCTCGATGATCTTGTTGGTTTTTAATTTCAAGTCCTCGTGAATTTCGTTGATTGCTCTTTCCTGTCTTTGCGTTTGCGTCAGCAATTCTTCCGATTTCGGTAAAAGGTTGTCCACCGAACTTTTCGTACCGATCTTTTGGAAAATTAAATACGGTTTCAGTTATGACGATAACTAATGCGGTAAGATCGCTTACTTACCACGACGTTCCACATCTGATCAATTTTGTTCGATACCGTCATCATCGGATACATTTGTTGAACGAGTCGATCGATTTTACTTTGTCTCGGTGATCTTTCGATGCTTGATGTCGCGTTAAATACGTGCGGACCGCTCGCTCCCACGAGTATCGCGTCCTGCACGTCCGTCACCATGTTTTGTATCGCTCCCAAACGATCGCTAACCAAATTCGTATGGAACTGCAATTTCCTGTCTATATTCGTCGTAGCTTGTCGTAAGTTCTCTATCTCGATCGATACGTGGTTTATAACTTCGTTGCTCATCGCTTTCGTGATTTCGATTACGCTCATGCTAATTGGTTTCTTTTCGCTAGCTTCGGCGTTTATGTCATCGTTTTGTAGAAAATTATTGTCCAACTGGTTTTTTAAATCGATCAGTTTATTATCTATGTCCGAAACTTTTTGATCGAGTGACAATAATTTTTCGCCGAGCGTTTCCGATGCTTCCGTGTCTTCTCCATGATGATTTATCGCCTGGCTCGTCGAACCTGTTTTATCCGATAGATACGACATTATTTAGAAAAGAAACGGTTCGCATCGTGATTGAAATGGAGTAGGAAAAAATGATCTTTCTGGTTCCTTTACTTAAAACGTACTGACTACATGAAAGGTGTGGAATACATACCGCTTTTAATTATGCTACCGTTCTTGTTGTCCGTCGTTTTCGTTCCGTACGCAGATTCCGCGGGAAAGAAGCTCGAATGAGCGTTGAACAATTTCAGATCCAACGTTCGCAGTTTCGTGATTACGGCATCGGTTTTATCGATGTTATCGTTTACGCGCGAATCCAAAGCTTCCACTCTTCTCATTAAATGTTCCACAGCTTTGTCCAAATTTTCGATTCGTTGCAATTTCGATTCCAAAGTCGAAACTATTACCTCGAATACGTTGAAAAGGTATTGTTCCCTGAAAATAGATTTTCCAATGTCATTAAAACGGACGAATCGTTGACGAATCGGAGAAATATCTTCCAATTTGGTCAACGTTAGATACGCGATGTTTCGTTTACATCGTGCTTTAATTAAGCCCGATTCGCTATTTCTTCGTCGCAACTATCAAGTTTTAGTTGACGCCTGTCAACCTTAAACAAACGAATCACGATCCGAACAAAATTTTTTTTATCAACCGTTTACAAAGCGTGATGCTGTTTGGTAACTTTTAAACGTAATCATTTTTAAGTCCGTACGCGTACAAATATTCTAAAATGTACCATCAAAATAGAATATACGATTTCTGATTATCCGCTTCTCGATTATTTTATAGCTTGTTCATCGACTATTTGCAATTTATGTTATACGATTTATCGGTATAAATGATGATTTACGTGTATGATGTATCAACATCTAAGCTCGATAAAATACAGGTAGATACTTGCTCCTTCGGTGGACCAGAAGTGAAAGTGTGCTTTTTTTAATGAGCCGCAACTCGACCGTAAGTCTCGACGCGTTCGTTATTTAAGAAACGGAATCCTCGTCTCGTTCGGAATACCAGTTTTTCGTATAAAAATGACAGAAAACTAAAGAATAGCTCGCATAAAGGAAAATTCAAGAAAAAAAGGAAAGATGAAAGAGAAGAAAAAGTGGATATGAAAGAGTCTCCTCGTGAATGTATACCGACAGCGATTAATGAAAACGATAATGGTCCGTTACCACGGACCATTACTTTTTGAAAATTTTACGATCATGCTTTTAAATACTTTGCTACTTCGTAGGTTCGTGACCTAAGAGGAAGTAGAGAAGGGCAAAGGATGGAGGGAAAATAATTATAGAATGTGTACGTAATCGTTAGGTTAGTGGACAAAAGTAAAAGGGACGAGAGAAAATACGAGGGGATATTGTATGTGCGATTTTCAATTCGAGTCGCGCGAGTATTGATTTAAGATCTAACTATGTTTTAATTTTCGTCTTTTAATACTTTCAGCGAATTATATTCGACGATAAATGTTGAGGCTGTTGATAATGGTAAATCAATGTTTTCCAACCACGTATCTGTTCCAATGGGTTGGAAATAGTTCGTACCAAATTCTGCTCTTTTTATGTTTTATTACGTAGGGAGTTTCGCTACGGGAATAAGAAGACAAGTGCCGATGTCGAGTATTCCATATGCCATAATTACTACGTCGGTGTACATAAAATAAAGCTTGTTCTAAAACAGCTTCCAACGAAGTTTCCTTTCTCTCGTTACGATGTGAGTTGTAATTTTACGCAACGTATTCGTAGGTAGGTCAATAGTTGTACCCTTGTGCTTACCGCGATCCTTTCGAATCTTATCGTCATCGTCCGATCGTCCAATCATCCGGTCGTCCAATTTTTCTCCTCGTTAATTTTCGTTCGTATTTAAATGTAAGGGAAAAATTAATTTCGCGATATTATTGATCGAAAGAATCGATTCGAAAGTAACGATAGAAGCGATACGAAAAGTGCGATGATTCGAGTGAAACGGTCCATGGTGGTCTCTCTCGAGTCGTATCGATTCTTCTGCGTATTCGAGTTTTTAATACCTATATATCTATCGACTCGCGGTGAAAGCGCAAACGTAAACATTATCAAAATTATTCGCGTAAAAGTAGTTTAGCGAAACCGGAGGACAAAAAGTGGCAATCGACTGGGTGGAAAAGTGGAAGTGGAACGTTTAACAGAACAGAACAGGCGACATTCCGCGATAGAAAACTTCCGTAAGATTGCAAAAAAAAAGAAAGACGTATTACGAAACGGTAATCGTTCTTTTCCAACAATGATCGGAGTAAAATGTATGCGCGATGTTTAAGGAATGTTATTCTAAGTGATTACGTTCTGTATGATACGAGAAAAAAAATTGTCCACTTGTTGTTTACTTTTCTAATGCGATACTTATAATATCTGCCATGTTCGGTATTGGATATAGTTGTGCGCGATGTTGTATCACGATTCGCGATCGTTCGTTCGTTCTTTCCTTCCGAGGAATCTAGCGAAGCTTGTGCAACCATATTGTCATAACTAGATCTCGGATTTGTTGCGCAACGAAAGGAAAACCAGTATATATCCTATTATCGTCATTGTTGTTTCTATCTTTACGATTTAATTGATTCCTATTCTTTTGCTTGTCACATGTTTTTCTAATAATATCGATATTACTGCTAAAAATCGAATGAATTATTTCGCTCCAAATGTCTATACGTTTCATTTCACATTTCTTCTAACTCGATCTTCTAACCTCGCTAAACGATCGGTTAGGTATACCTTGTACGACGAATTGGGAAAAAATATTTCTACGTTATAAACTGAAAGTTTTTGCGATCCGAAAGCCAAACGACTTTGTTTTGAACTGTTTCGTCCTTCCACCCTTCCATCCAATTTCCTCGTTTTCTTTCGTTCCCTTTCATTTTTTTATTCTTTTTTGCTCGGATATATGTTTGCGAGAATACGGCAAATAGAAAGGAAAACACCGGAGGGGGAGCAAGAGAAAGCGGAAACAAATTGTTCTCGTAACTGAAATTTAATGAATAATAAAATGAAGATAACGGATACGACGCTTTTTTAGAAATTTATCAATTTTACCGAGTACACGCTGTTTCTTATTATCCATTATCAACGAAATCGATAATTAATTAATATTTTTCGACTCCAGGTCCATCGAATCTTTGAGAATCCTCTTGGTTGAAAGTAGTCGTTTACCGAGGGATACGACATTTTTTTTTAATAAAACATGCAATAAAATATATAATCTTTTATATTATTTTAAAAAGGAAAGCAATAAAGAAGATTTTGTTCTATTATTCTCTAACGCGAAGGGAATGTTCACGATCTGTTGTCCATTGTTCTAGCCCTAAAAATATGAGTACTACAGTAATTATTTCTTTAATCGACCCTTCGTCGTTCCACGATATAATTAAGAACGTCGATAAAATAAGACATTTGTGAAAGATATCGAAGCTTTCATTGAATTCGAATTGCTTACGAAACGGGAAAAAAAGGAAGGCGAATGGAAGAAAAAGCAGAAAGAAGGCTTTTGAAAATAAAGCGAGGTTCGCGATCTGTGGGAATCTCGGATTACGATGGTCAAGATAGAAGTTTAGTTTTACGCGTTTAACCAAACGAATGCGAGTACAGGTGTGTGCACAGGCGTTCGCGTGGGGGTGTCTATTCGCGACATGGGCATGCGACAGATAGCGGATAGAGGTAAGCAAAAATTTCTCTGATTTGTTCCAAGTATATCGCGAAATTGTGAAAAAGCAACGAATTGGAAAAAAAGAACAAAGGAAAGGGAAAGGAAGTCTGTTGATCGTTCGAATCGATTCATAAAATATGTCGTAACGAAGTAATGCAAAGAATAACGAACAATATTTTTCTTCTATTATTGAACGTTGAGTCTTTCTCTTGTCGACGAAAACCTGCTACTATTAAAAATTGTACCTCTCTCGCTGTTTTGCAATGTTACATAAGCGAAAGTGTAACCTAACGTAAGCCGGCGAACTGACAGCACTATGCATCAAAATCTCTTACGATGCGTGTTATTAGTTGTAAATATATGTTTATTTATTTTTATTTCTATTTTCCAACTGTTGTAGCGACTGCTCCGCGGAGAAAAAATGTAGAAGGAAAGAAATAAAAAGATTCGTGATAATAAGAAAAATGCTTAGTTTCATTCGTGCTAAAGGCACGAATTTGTATCGGTACCGTCAGCGATTAATGGAAGCTGTATCTAATCCGCGTATATACTACGATCACCGCGCTAATAGCTCACCTGTTTCGTTGAGAATTGCGACCGGATGCCGGCATCGCGTTTCCAGCGACGTTGCCTCCATTGTAACTAACGTTACGCGTGTTACGTTCGTCGGCAGAGGTCCTGGGCAATCTAGGACTTCCAGCGAACACAGCACCCAACAGGCAGGTGGTGATTATTATAGCCTCTCTCATAATCGAAGAATCGAAGAGGAAAGAAGAATACGAAGAATAATGTTGCGCACGAAAGGTACAAATGGGTAGGTAAAAGGATCGAGTTAGGGAACGAGGAAAAAGAAGAAGAAGGAGAAGAAGAGGAAGAAGAAGAAGAAGAAAGATGACGACAAAAATAAAGACGAAGAAAAAGAAGATTAAGAAGATGGAAAAGAAGAAGGTAAGTTATTACGAGAAGATATCGAAAGAAAAAGTCGCGATTTTAAAAACGTACCGGCACTCCCGACGCGAAGATCACTTATCGGTCAGTCGCTGGTTAACGCTAACGTTGTTCTCTTTCTCTTTAATGTAAACAAAATATTTGTTGATTGTTACCGCGGCAAACTGTACGAATGAACGAGCGAACGAATCTGTCATCGAGTTGCGAGATGCACGCACAAACGGAACTTATTTATCGTTAGCTCGATTCGAAGTATCGGTTCGCGAACGAATAAAGGCGCTCACTGTTAATGAAAATGTTGATGTCGTGACGAAATCATTTAGATGATAACTAAACGGATTTTCGCTTAAAATTATCCATTTGATCGTTTACCGTTTGATCGAGCATCGATGATAATCACGACGATATTTCTTCTTTTCAACTTTCTCTTCGAAACGGCATTAATTCTTCGTACGTGTGTCGTGTATTATATCACCGTGCATGTAATCCCGTTCTTGAAAAGTCGTGCGAAAACGTGGATATCGTCGGGTCACGACGAAATAAACGAACCCGCGAAATATCGGGATAATCCTCCAGCTATGTTGCACCGTGATCCCACGATTAGCTTTTATCTCGTTATTCACGGCAAATCCATTATTCTTTCGGAATTATTATGCTTTTCCATGTCCGTATGCTTGTTGTGTCATTTTGTTTTGCTTCCCTTTTCTTTTCCCTTTTTCTTTATCGTTTCCGTTTCTTTCCTTCTTTTATACTATCGCATTTTTTACTTTTCTCAAGCAGCAAACCACCGATCCTCGATACGATTTCTCCTTCTCGATTCGAATTTGAAAGAAAATCGATATACGCGATATTCGTACCGCGTATAATTCGAAGGATTTCTTTTACCAAGGAGGCCGCAAAGTCACGAAAGCGATAAACTCGCGATAAACGTAGGAACGCGCGTAAGATTTAAATTCGATTAAAGTTGGGAGATCGTGTTATTTGTCGTTTCCGGCGATTGTTCCTTTACGGTAAAACCACGATCTTGAAACGTTTGCTCGGTCGCGTTATGCACGAATCGAGCGAATAAACAAACTTTCAACCGATAAGGTTCGTTCTCGTCTCTCTGCTTGATGTCGTGAGTTTTTTATTCGATCGATTGGCGCCGTTTTGCCGAAATAGCGAATAAAATGCAGGGCGGTACACGGCCGTGGTCACCGAATCTTGACTCACGAGTATACGACGAGACTACCGACACCATAAAGCACCAAGAAGCGTACGATCTCGGCTGAACTGTAAGAGTTACTTTCACGTACATACGTGTCCACGCTGAAAGAGTACCTATACCTCTCCCCACTGATCTACCGACCATTCTGGTCTCTTTCCGTCCTTTCCCCGTGTAAACCTGTGATCCGATCTGAAACGATTCGATCCGTTTGAATCCGCTCTGTTCCGTTCCGTTCCGTTTCGTTCCGTCTCGTTTCCTTTCCTTTCGTTGCGACTTGTTCCCCTTCCTTTTTTGTCCATTCTCTTTCCTTTCCTTTCCTTTCCTTACCATACCTTACATTACCTTACCTTTCCTTTCCTTTCTCTCCCTTTCTCATCCCTCTATATTTCAATCTGTTACATACACGATAAGAAACGAATGGAAATAATTCGATTAAAAAGAAAGGTATGGTAACTCCAAGAATCGAATATCTTTGCTATGCTGTCGCAAAAATCTTGATCGGTGAGCTGCAACGGACGCGTTCAAAATATTTCGATCGTTCTCGTTGAAAAAAAAATCGATCATTTTTTTATTCGATTTTGCGGATCATCCACCTAAAGATATCGATATTACATAAATTAAGGAGCAACAACTTAGCGACAACTTAGCGAAACAGGAATATAATCCGTTTCATGTTTTTGCTTGCTTTTCAACGATCCATTTAAACAATATAAATTACTGACTGTGAAGATACCTAAAATATCTGCGCATTATACGGTAATAAACGCGTCAAGTTTTATCGTCCTTTCGTACGTATGCATATGTAAGGTGTGTCTGTGTGTGTGTATCGATGCGATGCGCGACGATTCAAAGTTGCCATATGGAACATGCTGTCAACTTAGTAACGTAATTAGGCGATGTTTCGAATTATTTTCTTTTTTCGTTTCGATCGAAAGATACAAAAATTATTATCGTTACTTTTCTAAAAGGGAAATAACGTGAAAGCATGCAGCAATTTGAACCGACAGATTACATTTTGTTCTCTGTATTTGTTCTACTCAGAATGCATTGTCTGCAAAGAATTTTTTTCCCCTCGGTAGCATCTTTTCTGTACATGAGCGAAAATTTATCGAGTATCCGATGATTATTTGCAGAAACTTTGCGAGTTTCGCGAGTATCGAGATCCGATAGGAGCACGCGCATACTCGGTGTTGCCGTGAAGTTGTACATTCCGTGATTATTAGGGCGCATCGGCGTTAGAAGTGTAAGCTAAGATTCCAAAGATGACCTCGGGGATGAAGAAAATGAAAAATTATATCTCGGATAAATGAAAATGGGTGTGGTAATCTATGGGACGGACAAATCGAAAAAAATATTATTTACCGACAGGTATGAAACATATTAACGTTCTGACATTGTGTGTGAAACAACAGAGAGGAACGTAAAGAAATATCGACTGAGAAAAATTCTCGTCGCCGTTTAATCGTTTATCAACATTCGATATTCCAAATGGGAATATGACAAATGCGATCGATCGATTCTATGCTTGACATGTGCTTCTTTTTCAAAATCAAAATAGGGGAGAAAAAGTAACTGTGTGAAAATCCTTTGAAAGCATGCTTGTGGAAAAAAAAATTGAATCGTAAGTTATACATCATGGGATTGTCGATTGTTGCGAACAAATTAGTATCACCTTGAAACGAATGAAGAATACACTTGGTACCGTTTTTTTCGTATGAGATCATTGCGCTAGCATTCTCGTCGCGTTCGTGCAGCAACAAACAAATATAATTGATATATATAGTAACCAGATATCCTAGAGGTATTTGGTTTCGTTAAAATTCGTATTGCAAAAGGAATAAAATAAACGTACGAGTAAGAGTAAAAACAAGTTTGGGACTTTATTGAATTATATGTATATAGATTGCGCTTTCGAGCAGATAACGTTGCTTAAACATCGTTATTCACGCTTTTACAGACTTTCGAATATACAAAATAACGGCGATCTTTCTCCAACTAAATAAAAAATGTATTTATACGTAATATGTATATATGTATAATGCCATAAACGTAATTTAGCGACGCTCCGCTTCTCAATAGTAGGGTCTTCTAGGATTATTCTGCGAAGGAAAAATATTAATTTCGGTTAATTTATTAGGACAGGTTACGTAGCGACTAGCGTCGATTCGTTTCGAAGCAAAAAGATGTGTTCGTTTTTACGAAGAAAAGGGATTCGTTACCAAAGGATTAGGCCTAAATCTATAGGCAAGCATCATTCTTTTTCTATAAGCGTCGAATTCGTCGTCGTCTCTGGATACCCCATCTGGTCTTTCAGAACCTAAACCAGCACTGTCGAATCTATTGGTTGCTCTGTAACAACAATTTCTTAGGATGCAACGATTTATTCGCGAAGATACGCCGAAATATACATATATGTAGGTACGAAAAGAAAGATTATGTCGAAAGCGATCGACTTCGAAAGACTTACTTGTTGATAGGTTCGATGCGACCGTTACCTTCGCTACCTAATCCTTGTCCTTCGCTCCAACCGAGTTTCTGCAACATCTGGAATCCTAATTAATGAAAAGATAAAAAGATAAGAGATCCTTTGATTCGACGATCGATAATCGAAAAGCGAAAAGGCGAATGGAAAAATTGGAAAAAATTTCTTCGCGTCACACCTACCTATGTTGTCTTCTTTAAGTTTGTATTCCTTGTAATCGCTAAGGTCTGGTTCTTTTCCTTGCTTGACCGCGTTATACTGTTCCATAAATTTTTTTAATTCATCCGGTGGTAAAAAGTCACCGATATGATGTTTTCCTTCTGCTTGAGCCGTTAATTCTTCGGCCCACATTTGAGTGGCCTCCATCTCGGCTGATCTAAGCTTGTGTTCCCACGTACCACCTTCCGTCTCTTCGTCGCTGTCGTATTCGTATTTGTGTTTACCCTGCGCTTCTAAGCGTCTTACTTCCTCTCGTTTCCTTAATAAGTTTTGATACAAAAGATTGATCTGAAGAAAAACAAATATACATTGGATGAGAGATTAATAGGTACTCATGAAAATTGAAGGGCAGGCAAAAGAAAGACGCGTGTCCGACCTTGTAGTGATCCTCTGCTTTTTTCCATTGTTCTTCGGTTAAATCTAACGTGCCGAAAGTTTGTCGAGCATACTGTATCAAAGCGGGATCGTTTCGAGATATTTTAGTCAACATAGGATTTTTCGTTTCTGCACGTTGCACCTTTGCCGATGGAATGATAACGGCTGGTTGTCCGATTTGTCCAGGAATCGCGATACCTGGTTGCAAGAGGCCGCCGCTTTGTTGTTTACGCGTGGTTGCGGTATTTATTTCTGTTATGGCCACTTTGTTATCCGGATCACCCCAACGGCTGCGTCTTTTTCGTTTACGTTCTTCCTTGTTGTTGTCCTCCTTTGACCGATACGTGCAATTATCGTCCAATTCTCTCTCTCTTTTCTTATCTGTTTCTGAAAGCGTAAAGGACACGCTGCGATAACCGATTTCCTCGACCCGTCACGTTTTTATACTTTATACTGTTTCGAACAACTTACCTTGCGTAAACGCGTGTTTGCCGATGCTCGCGTGATCGTTATCCTCGTTATCGCTGAGAGCTTCTTCCGGACAATAAGGTTCCGCTCCGCTGTTCTTACTCCCCTTCATGGATCTTTCGGCACGAAACTTTGCCACTAATCCCCTGTACTGCAGATACGCTGCACTTTGCTTTTGGTGCAGAAACCTTGATTAAAATAATACTTAAGACTCTGACGAGTAACATATTTTCCTAAATTAGCTTCCTTCGTTAGAAGAGAAAAAACGATGGTAAAAGGTGTAACTAGTTTGATTAGTAACTATAAACGACTGCGAAAAGAATAACGGATCAACGATCGAATATAGTTCGTCGTACATTTTCTGCTTTCTCTCTCCCTCTCTCGATCCCTCTTTCGTTACACGGAATTCCGCGACAGCTTTAATCCGTTTTTAGAAAAATCGAGTAGACGGGGACGAAGAAATATTTCCGACGACGACGACGAGTATCTATCGTTTAGGTAAACGACGAAACAAAAGACGTTAGATGAGAAACGTTAAGATGTTATGGAATGATAGAACTTTCGGTCGCGATTTTCCATGTTGTATCGTTCGTTACTCGATCGCGAGCAAGATTACGAACGAATAAAGATTCGATGTAAGATTAAGTCCGTCCGAGGCGCATAGCGTCCTCGATCGTATCTACGAGATGGAGAAATGACGAGAAAAATGAAGGATACGCGAATCGGAAGTATGGAGGGATAATACGACGCGTTTAAACACGAGACGAGGACCAGAGAGGACAGTAGTTACCATAATTTAGGATCTTGGGCGTTCTTCTCTCGCGCTTCCTGTTCGATTTCATCCCCGCAGTCAGCGACGATGCGTGCCAGCTGCTCAGCCTCTACGGGACACACTTAGAAGCCTTTGTCAGACACGCGTAACCACGCTTAAACTTGTTTGTTTATTTTCATTTATGTGCCGTAGATCGTTACACTCGCGATTTCGCGTTTTCTTCGTACGATCTATGCGTGTATGTACTGTGCGCCCGCCAAAGGGTAAACTCTGGGAATTCAGAAAAGCAGATCTACTTTCCTTACTTTTTGAGTAAACCCGCGTTACAGTTGTGACCAATTGTTCGCTCGCGTTCATTTATTTCAGTATACTGCCAGAGCTTATCTTCTGACGAGTGAACTATATGTATGTATGTATGTATGTATGTATGTATGTATGTATGTATGTATGTATGTATGTATGTATGTATGTATGTATGTATGTATGTATGTATGTATGTATGTATGTATGTATGTATGTATGTATGTATGTATGTATGTATGTATGTATGTATGTATGTATGTATGTATGTATGTATGTATGTATGTATGTATGTATGTATGTATGTATGTATGTATGTATGTATGTATGTATGTATGTATGTATGTATGTATGTATGTATGTATGTATGTATGTATGTATGTATGTATGTATGTATGTATGTATGTATGTATGTATGTATGTATGTATGTATGTATGTATGTATGTATGTATGTATGTATGTATGTATGTATGTATGTATGTATGTATGTATGTATGTATGTATGTATGTATGTATGTATGTATGTATGTATGTATGTATGTATGTATGTATGTATGTATGTATGTATGTATGTATGTATGTATGTATGTATGTATGTATGTATGTATGTATGTATGTATGTATGTATGTATGTATGTATGTATGTATGTATGTATGTATGTATGTATGTATGTATGTATGTATGTATGTATGTATGTATGTATGTATGTATGTATGTATGTATGTATGTATGTATGTATGTATGTATGTATGTATGTATGTATGTATGTATGTATGTATGTATGTATGTATGTATGTATGTATGTATGTATGTATGTATGTATGTATGTATGTATGTATGTATGTATGTATGTATGTATGTATGTATGTATGTATGTATGTATGTATGTATGTATGTATGTATGTATGTATGTATGTATGTATGTATGTATGTATGTATGTATGTATGTATGTATGTATGTATGTATGTATGTATGTATGTATGTATGTATGTATGTATGTATGTATGTATGTATGTATGTATGTATGTATGTATGTATGTATGTATGTATGTATGTATGTATGTATGTATGTATGTATGTATGTATGTATGTATGTATGTATGTATGTATGTATGTATGTATGTATGTATGTATGTATGTATGTATGTATGTATGTATGTATGTATGTATGTATGTATGTATGTATGTATGTATGTATGTATGTATGTATGTATGTATGTATGTATGTATGTATGTATGTATGTATGTATGTATGTATGTATGTATGTATGTATGTATGTATGTATGTATGTATGTATGTATGTATGTATGTATGCATTTGATCTGATATTCAGCGTATCGCGCAAATGCCCGCGTAACTATTCTAAATAGCAAACGATATGTTGTCTAAACGGAGGATATGTAGGTCTCTCTAAGCGAATACGAGCACATGGCGATACGTCGAAGTATCTTAGAAAGTAGACGTTAATAACAAATAGACATATCGTACCTAGCTGTTCCGAAGTACGAAGATCGATCATCGACCTCACTGGTGGTGGTACTTGAAGATTGGGTGGTCCCATAGGTACCTGACTAACTGGATTCGGAAGATTAGGAAGAGGATAGCTGGTCGACATTAAAGGAGGTGGGGCAGCGGTTTGAATTAAAGAAGGAGGTGGCGGTGGTGGGACGTTCGGTGGCGGAATATTCAAATTTGGCGGTGGAACCGAATTGATGTTGGAGGGTACGTTACGAATCGGTGGCGGAGCGGACATCATGACGGGCGGCGGAACGTTCGGTGGTGGGACGTTCGGTATGTTCGGTACGTTGGACGCGTTTCGTATACTGACCGTGATCGTCTGCGATCCAGGAATCGACATCATATTTGGTGGCATTTGCGTCATCGTTGACAACAAATTAGGAGGAGGGATATTCGGAGGTGGTAAATTTGTCGGTTGTAACGGTCCAGGTGGTGGTACACCGCACTGTTGCGTAGTCGAGAACATGCGCTGTCGCGGACTCGATGCTGTCGATGTTAACGAGGCGGATGGCGTAGACGGTAACGGAGACAACGACAACGGGGTCGTTAGTGCCGGTGACGACGAAGTCAATGGCGCAAGATGCAACGTCGATGACGTTAACGGCGAAGAAGACGAGGAACAAGTGGCCGAAGAAGAAGTAGAAGTAAAAGAAGAAGAGGAGGAGGAGCACGATGATAATGACAGTAACGGCGTCGACGATAACGAAGACAAAGGCGAGGTAGATATCGATGGAAGCGGAGGTGGTGGTGGAGGAGGAGGTGGTGGCAAATTTTGTACGTTGGGCGGTATCGTTCGACCGGTATGAATATGCGGTGGAGGTACGTTGGTATTTGGTGGAACGGATTGCACGGATAGAGTAGCAACGGATGGATGTATGGAGTGCGTCGAGGATATTTGCATTCTTGGATTTTCTGATTGGTTGTTCGTTGCGGAATAGCTACTTGGCGAAACTTTTGATGGTATCGGTAAATTCGATAAATTCGGAGGTGGTACGTTAGTTACGATATTTGTCATGTTAGGTGGTGGTACACCGCTCAGACGTATCGTAGGTTGAGACGCGAAGGAAGGGACACCGGATGAATTTCCATTCGGAGGAAGAAATTGTTGTTGGCTATGCTGCGTGCGCTGTCCATTGGAAGACGACTGATTATAGGAACGTCGAGCTTCTGGGCTTTGGGACGTCGAACGCCTAGTAGGAGACGGACTCGAAGAGGAACTGTGCCTTTTGTCAGAGTTTCTGCCCCAACGAGAGTCGCCTCTTCTACGATCCCTTCTATTGTCCGAATCTCTGTTTCCTTCGTTGTTTCTCTTTTGTTCTTTGTCGTATACATTTTCCCTGTTTGGTTCTTCTTTTTTCTCTTCGGATTTTAAAGAATAGATAGACTCTGTATCCCCTACTCCTTTATTATTATTCGCGATTCTTTTGAACTGATCCAAAAAGCTGCCATCGTTGGCAAACAGGTTGACTGTTTGAGACGTTGTCAGTTTCTCTTCTTCTTTTCTGTAATGTAATAAATATTTCCTTTGTGAAAAAGTAATATCGTTCAACAAAAATATAATATGATTTGATTATTAATTGTTTGATATTTCTTGCCACCTTTGTTATCGACGATGCACGTCATTCGCGAATAACGATCGTAGAGTTATTAAGCGCTCGTACACACATACACAAATATATACACGCATACACGCTCGCATCACATACGCGTATAAATTTTTACATAATTACGTAATGTAAAAATGCGATTAAGCGGTTCTGAACTGAACGCGTTTACGACGGTGGAAATTACTCACTTGGAATTACTTGCTTGATCAACAACCGAATTCGGAAGTAAAGCGTTCGTCTTTCTCATATTTTCTACGGCTTCTTTCGCTTTCTGTTCTTGCATTTTCGCTTGTATTTCAAGTTTCTTTTGTTGAATAATTTGTTCTTGCTTCGACATCTGCGCGAATCGTTCATTTCGAGAGGTTTTCGAAACAAATGGATCAGAACCTTTCACACCGCGATACGCCATATTTGTTGTGTGATCGCAGACGACTCTCTGTAAACTTCGACACGATGATTCCACTCAGGATGACTAACTCCATGATAATTTCGTGTTGACGTATTGGAGCGATGCTAGCGACTCCGACGCTAACGAGAACAAAGTATATATTCGAACAACAAATTCTTCGACTTTGCAGCATGGTCTAATGTGATCTTATTTCGGTTACAAACAAACTCCGAAGATAAAAATCATCATATATTGAAATTTTATCGTTAGTTATATAAAGAAGATCGATATTATACAGTTATTCCTCTTAATATTCGGCCATTGTTCGTATGCGTAACATAGATGCGTGTAAGCGTCAATTTCATCAGCTTGCGACACGTATTCGTACGGGGCAGCACGAGTAGCATGTGGCAACTTATTGCTACTGCTGGTCGATAACAGATGGCGCACACCTAATCGAAATTTTGGCTATTTTCTCGCTAGTACTAGACGAGCCCATATAGCTAATTTCTCTGCTGAAGCCCGAATGGATTGTAATGCCTTACTCATATTGAGTGTCATCGTATAACAGTATTATTCATGGTACGATGTCACGAGATGCGTATAGGGTCGTGGTGGCGCGACAATCAAACGATAGTTAGAACAAAATTTAGTCGTAGGACGCGCCACCAAGGCGATTACGACGCCTACGACGTGACGGCGTTGAGAGAATAGAAATTTGTTAGAATTTCGTTTCGGTTGAAAATCATATTTTGCTACCGTATATATATGTGTAACAACGTGTTCTGTACAAAAAGACATGTGGTAAACTTTTTCGTTCCTTCGTGACGGTAGTAACTATGGTTACGAGAAAATCACCCCCAATATTATCTTTATAGTTGCATCACGATGTATATTTAAACGAAATAATCGTATAAACTTTTTATTGTACTCTACTTACACGGCACTGTGTATATTGTATGTGGCATTGTACGATACAAATGATGATGTGATCTTCGATTTTCATCGATTAAAATGGATGAATTGTTATCGATACTTGCGAAAAAGGTAGGAGGGTAACTATTGAGATAGAATAACTAGTAGGAGAAACGTTTTGTTTATTTATACGCGTTATTGAAGATAATCATATTAATTTGTAATTGCAATTACGTTGGCAACGTTATTAACTTGTAAATATGTTTATATCTACATAGCTACATACATGTAGATTTTCGTACTATACATATGTATATTTCAAAATATTTAAATGGTGTTTTGTATACAATTATTTAAATGACGGTTACATAGAACTTTTGGCCAGTACCTCGACTCGATACATTTTAAGTGTTAAGCAATATGTAATAATGTCGTTATATCAACAAGAGTAGACATATAATTTGGTCTATCCTCTGGAATCTGTTGTAACTGCTTTATCATGAAACTTGTCGAAATTGCGCGTTCGCGTACGATTATTATCAATGGAATGTCTAGAATAGTAAGCAATATATTGAATATACAATCTGTATCTTACAATTAAACACATTCATTCGTTATACCGAAACAAACTCGAGAAGTGATCTATAATTTATGAATAATGAGATTCGTGTATCGTTCAGTATCTAGATGTTGGAGTTGAAAGGATAATCACAGAGAGTTTGGACTCGAAAGAAAATATTCTTGTTGAAAAGATCAAGTTGTTGTGTCTGATAGTCAAAAATAATCCAAAACGATGTTTGGAAGGGATATTTCGTGCGACCGAATTATCCGATTTTACGAGAAACATAAGTCAGCTTATGCTTAAAGTAAAGCGTAAGTACGTATAATGACGACGACGATGATAATATCTAATAATAATAATAATAATGAAAATGTAATCATTGATCGAATATTGAAAAAGTGTATTTTATTTATTATAATAGGAATAATTTTTAATCGTAGTATTGTTTGAACAAACTGACAAGCTATGTCGTATTTTTTTTTTTTTTTGTAGAGTGGACGCTTACCCTTCAAAAGGAAAGATCTGATTTTTCTCGCTTCCAGCGGGACGTCAAAATTGCTTGGAGAACGATGAATCTAACTCAAACGAATATAGAAGAAAGTTTCAGAGAAAAAATGACGATACGCACGTAAGTGATCGCTTATAATGGTTTTTGTACTCGGTAACGAGTCATTTAATGAAAGCATAATTGATTGATAATTTTCTGGTAGTGATGGAAAAAGAATTGTTTCAGCTTGGAATACGCGTCGAAGGTATTAACTAAAAGTTTGGAACACGATGTACAAAAGGAATTGATGCAGGTGATGGCGAAATCGTTGGAGAGTCGTTCAAAATATATCGGTGATATACGGTACTCGAAACGAAACAGCATTTACGATTCGTGGTGAGAAACAATTTCAAAGCAAGTAGAAAAAGGTGCGTTATGTTTGTTCTAATATTTAATTTATTATGATGCTACGTAGTTACGAAGCAAAAAAGGAGTGCTTTGACCAACTTGAAAAGTACAGTGACGACATCGAGAGACTTCATGGTTGCAAAAGTACACTTTTGACCGAACGAGATTTTATCGAAAAACAACGATTCGTCGTTCAGGTTTGTTTTACCACTATTTCATGATTATTATTTCGTTAATGTTGTTGTCGTTGTTCGATCGGTTAATTTACTTTCATTTCTATGCGTTGCAAATACATGGAAAGTCATTCACGCGTTTGCTCGTAGGATCAACTGATCACCCAACGTGCTACGTACAACCAATTAAAAGAGGAACGCGAATTAAACGCGAAAGAAGCTTTTTCAATGAAATTTCAATATTTTCGTCAAAATCGAGCAGCCAGAATCATTCAGCGAAATTGGAGATTTTACTGTGTACGAGTATCTTGGAAAAGAAGGAAAGGCAAAAAATAATATACGTTCAATTTTATTTTATGATTAAACATTTTCTATCGTCGTTAGTCGAATTATGTATATCTGACCTTTCCAGTTGTTTTTCTAGTATCGATGATCGATGTCTAGTTTTGCACTGATTATATCGAATAACGTTAGTAACCTGTTTAGCGGTTCATTTTTTACCCGGAAAATTCTTGTTATGTATTCAACTATATTGATCTTTTGCTATGTTTAGAAATCTCATCTCTCCCCTCCCTCTTTCTCTCTCTCGCTCTCTCTTTCTCTATTTATCTCTCTATCTCGGTTCCCCTTCATCGTATCACCACACTGTCCACGACACTTTGATTCTTATTTGGTTTGTTATTACGTTTCCTTCGTCTAATACTCTTTAGTTGCCTCTCATGCATCGGCGCGCGTTACGTCTTCGTTCGTGTCTCGTAAAAACTCGTTAAATATAAATCATGAAAATCGTTATAAAAATCAATGGTTTGAATCTTCGTTTGAACAACAAAATTTTATGTAGATTCTTTTTCTTTGTTCGTTATTTTAACAGTATAGAAAATAATTTCACAACATTTCCAATGCGATATTTCGAATAAATTTTTAAACGATATTAAAAATAAAATGATGTGAAAACTGTAAAAATGTGCGCGTGCGCGCGTCTTTGTTCGTGTATGAGACAGGGAAAGAGAGAAGGAGCAAACAGCCGAAAAAATGATAAAATGGAGTCGAACCATGGACAGCAGGGAGTAAGCGCGTTGGAAAGAGGGTAGTAAATCGCACTACTGAGAAAAGCTGGGTTTGCTTTAGTTAATAGTCGCGAGTAGGTCGACGCATGCTCCGAAAGATTTCCCCGGGGTGATGTTCAGTCGGGCAAACCGAGACGAGCCAGCAGGCCAGCAGCCAAGGCTGGCAAACGTTCGATCGTTACGAAGCGAATCAGTTGGCTAGCCGGGCGTACCGCGAACACCACAATTTGGAATATGTATTATATCGATCGCTGTCCTTTCCACCTACGTACGGTTCGCCTTTTTTAACGAATAATTTAATATTCGTACAGTTAATAGAAATATTAATTGGTTTGCCGAGAAATGTACGGATGCGAAGAAAGTAATCGTTAAAAGTAATATTGTACTTATCATCGAACGTTTATCGTGGTCAAATGAAACTGTTCGTCGTAGAAAGCTTTAAAAGTTAATCGCGATTTCAAAGAGAACTCGTTAGGTTCGCGAATCGAATCGAATCGAATCGAATCGAATCGAGTCAAGTCAATGACAATACAACTAACTGTTTGGATGCATAATCACATCGAATAGTCTGGACCGATCCGATCCGATTCGATCCAACTCGACCCAACTGAACCCAACCCAACCCAGTATCCCTCGTAAAATGTACGTGCACCACCTGTAGCTGCTCGATATCAACGTTTCACGGGTCAATCGCCTTTCAATCGAGTTTCTCTCTTCGAACGTAAGTTAAACGAACGTTTCGTTTTCTTTCTGTTTATTCTATTATGCCTGCATAATACATCGGCGAGTTGTAATGTTTGCGCATACTTTGAGCAAAACCGGAAAATTACATATTTTTCTTGACGGCAATAAAAATATTTGGGTGCCGTTGAGACGGATAACGAACAAGGATCCGAAAGTGAAGCAATTCTTTCTCATCGGAACATGACTCGAAGGAACTGTTTTCTTTCTCGCAGTATGTTCTTAATCGCAGAGCGCAGCAAAGAATAACGAAACAAGTAAAGCGAATTTTACGTTTACGTATACTCGATCTTTCGATATATATATATTCAAAGAAAAGAAATGTACTCGTTCCGTGTAACTTCGTAAACTTAAAGATGTTAAAATTGCGCTTCGAATCATAAAAGATTGTTTTTACGATTACCTTTGTAAATCGAAGTGTTTGGATTTAATCTCGTAATATAAATTAGAGAAAAGTGAAAAATACGAAAGGAAAAAGAGGAAAAAAGGAAGGCTGAAAGAGGAAAAGGGTAACGGAACATATCGGTGACATAAGAAAGAAAATGCGTTTTAATGTAACGATGTTTTACTAATAACACGTTTTCTCGTTACAGTCTTAGCCGGATGTAAGGGTGTTTTAGCTTTTATCGGAGAAAGAGAGGGAAGAAAGAATTGGTGCGATAGGTCGCATCGAAGCCGATGAAAATTCATGGTCGCGCGAACGATGGGTGAGAAAGAAAATAACGTTTCTTGCAAATGGAGTATGGAGGAACGCGAAAAGATTCTGGCCACGGGAACGTTAGAACAGAAAAAAGAAGCCTTTAGGGACGACGAAGAGTTAATGAGAGAAACGACGAAATTCGTGAGCGAAGTAATCGATACGGCGGCCACAGAGGCTTGTAAGAGGAAAACGCGTTCGGAGGTAAACTTTTGCTAGTAAAGTTGTATACGTGACCGTTGTCGTTCAACAACGTTTCGAGCATTACTTATTAACGATCGAACGTTACGTTTCAGACGGGTGACGCGAACGAAGGTAAGACTAAAGATCAGAAAAGATCGTACGAGATCGATGATAAGGAAACATGGATGAATAGATATCAGGAAAATACATTTTATCTTTCTCATCGTGATCGAGCTTTATTTTCTCGATATCTTTTTCACGTTGTTTCCTTTACGAGAGAAAAGACGCTCTGTGCCGATCAATCGAATAATATGTGTGTTTGCGTAGGAAGCAAATTGAAAGCTATCGAGAGTATCGCCGGCTGGAATCATCGTGCACGTGGATTCTGCAATCGAATACTGAACGCGCTCTGTCCATGTTTCACCAATAATGGTAAATCGTAGAGCGTTTCGAATTAACAACGTAGCATGTAGTTAGAATCATTAGAAACCCATTGAACTGATACGACGCGACGCGAGACGTTTACGAACATCGCGAACTCACGCGACAAATGCTTACGTGCAAGTAGCTTCGCGTCGCTATCGTCTCGACTCATTTCTTAACTTGATCAGAACGCTAACCTCGTATTTGCGTATATGTACACGAGTCTCGTAAACGTATTTCAAATTTATAATACGGTGTTTTTCGCTTCTCTTCGTAAACTGCGGAAACAGTTTTACCAAAAACGTTTCTTCCTTTCTGATCATTTTTGATCAGTTTCTTTTTCTCCATTTATTACGATTCAAATACGTACGTTCGATTCGACGAGCAGCAATACGTGCTTTAGTATTTCTGTACTTATCAACGACTTCGTTCGACTAATCGAAACGATGATGAAACGATTGAAAAGCTGGCGAAAATAAATAAATTTATCGCGTGAATTAACGCGAGAAAGTAAAAGTGAATAGGGCTAAAGGAAAAACGAATGATTGTGAGGCTCGCATATATTTACGACGCCGTTAGCGAAAATCTTGCTTTTCGCGCGACATTTTTTTACGTCAATATTCATCGCTAGAAACGAACGATCGCACGATCGAATTCGGCAAATAAATAATACCGTTACACTGTTATAGTATTCCAACGAGTCGAATTCGATCGGACGGTTTGCTAAATAATCGGAACACAAATGATCAACGCATGCCACCGTTCGACGTGTCTTATCCCGTAGTACCAACGGCGTTCATATTAAATACTAATATCGTAACTGTTCCTTACTCGCATTATGTGTAGATGTCGACGACCGACGACTAACTATTACCGACTACGACACGCGTACGTTACCTAGCATGCGTGAAGAGAAATGATAGCGCACATCATCTTTACGAGTGTGCGTTCATTTCCTCGAATCAGCTCGATTTCATACATATAGTTTTAACGACGCGCACGTCATATGTAGACGAATAGCCCAGGCTTCCAAACCATCAATTTCATCCTCGATACTAGTTTTATCCTTTTTGATACGCGAGAAATTTTATTTATAATTATATCTAAAGTTATGTATTTTCTTGTAATCTGCTCGAGGTGTAGTCCGTTCGAAGAAACACGATTTAATGAAAATGGAGGATGAAACGGTATCGAATATCTAGGCACACAACATACATAACATTGTACGGCACGTAGCATCTCGTAATTAGGCACGATGTAGGCTTGAAAGAATATCGTATATTATCAGTATGTCTATTCTTTTCATAGAATTATTCGCCTGGACACCGTACCGGTATCGCTTCACGAGACCTTCTTAATTGCTTGCCACGTTCCAGAGTTACGATACTGCATTTATCCAGCAGCAGCCATTAGCTTGATCAATAAAATGAAAAATTGCGCGAGTACTCGTCCTGCTGAATAACGTGAGTTCACCGATGATCAAAACAAAAATAGCTCGCGATCGACGTTCGATTTTTTCTCGGGTTATTCGGCGCAAGAAATTTAATATAGATTTAATTGATTCGAATCGAATCGTATATACATTTTCTTTATGTTATATTAGTTTAGTTTAGTTTAGTTTAGTTTAGTTTAGTTTAGTTCAGTTTAGTTTAGCGTAGTTTCGTGTAGTTCAGTATAGTTTAGTTCAAATAAATTTAACATAATGCAATGTAATTTAATTTCATTCAATTTCTGTATTTACTCAATTTTTATGTATATTTCTACGAATTATTCATAGTTTTATTAACTTTTCATTTTTCTGACTCGTAGTGCGTAGAAGCATACTAGGTCAGTACATCTATATCTGTGTATTATTCTATATATGCATGTCTGTATGTACATACGTAAGTACTTACGTCTGCATTTTATGGTATCTGCTTGCGCGTAACTATGTATCGACGATCGAATTAACCTTCATCGATGAAGTTCCGTGTGTAGGGTTCGTCTCGTAAACGATCGCTCGATGAATCCGATGATCGTTTCGATTATCTTCTTTCCGTAGAAAGTACTCCACCGTTGGTACAGTGTGTCAAAATGAAATAACCTAAGCGTGACACAAATTTACGATGCGTTGATCGTAATTTTAAACTCGTACTTGCTGTTTCGTGTATTACCATCGAACGAATCTATGTTTCGATTGAAAGGATATGTACGATAGAGACAAAACGAAGGAAACAGGGACCCTGATTCTGAAAAATGGAAGCGAATGAAAACGAAAGGAATGAAGATAAAAGGGAGGAGAAAGTGTAAGAGTGAACGCGTAAGAAAGAGAGAAAGAGAGAGAGAGAGCGAACGCGTGCGAAAGGGAGAGAGTAAGAGAAGAGTAAAAACAGTGAAAGATACACTTACTATAAAATATATTTAATGTGGGATCAAAGAAGCAAAAAATCTATTGACTGACAATCAAAAAAATACGTTACAGATAGATACAAATATATATACACATATATTTGTTTATACGTGCATGTTATCGCGTGAACGTTTTTTTCTTTTGGACGAAATTATAAATATTAGTGACTTACGTGTCCAAGAACTGCTTCTTCCGGAAAGTATTTTTACAAGAGATTTATTTACCGCTATGGTAAATTTTAATTGTGCTGTACGGCGACAAACGTATTGCCGCGAAGCGACCAAATAAGGAAAAATTAACGATCAATTAACGAATACGCGTATGCGCGTATTTTTCATGTTCACACGTATCGCATATTATGTACATATACACTTACATACATACGTACAATCGTAATTTAAGTAAACAAATAGGCTATTCATTTTCCGTGTATCTGTTAATAAACGTACAAATATAAATGAAAACGTTCGGTTGTAACAATTTTTTAAACCTTTTTCCTCATGATGTTTATATTTGCTTTTAGAAAAGCAAAGATCTTATCAAATCGCTCATAAAAATGAAGTATTAGTCAGAAAAGATATGAATCAGTCAAAACAGCTATGATTTCGGTGCATATAATACATGTTTTGGTTGTTCGCGTAATAATCGCATCGAATCGAAGCGAGATATAAATAATGTTGAAACAACATCTTTTGGGGTTTTGTAACGTCTGGATGTATCCGGTTGTCATAGAAACTCACGTACGCGCACCTGTATACCTATATCGGTACATCGTGTTAGCAACCAATTATACGATTGTCATTCAAGGTAGGTTAAGACACATTTCGCTGCTTCGTTGGTGTAAAAGTGGAAAGCGAAGTCTGGAAATGCGATCACGTAAATGTTCACGTTACTGCTTTTTATTTCGATAAAGGTAAGCATAAACATACGTGCACTGAACAATATTTCGATATACATATGTGCATATGTAAGTACTAGTATGCTTATGAACAAGTATCGAGTGAAAAGTAACGTCTGTTATCGTTTAAGGAGAAAAGGTGTTCGGAAAATAAAGCGATAAAAATCGTAAAAAATATATGTAAATAGTTGCTGCGAATCTATGGTCATGGAGTGTGGCAAGAAGAAGCGAATTTCAAGGACATACAAGTATCTGTCGTTTTGTCGAGAAAGAGACGATTTTAGAGCGCGTCTCATTAACGCCATAAAGAAGAGGCAAACGAGAGAAAAAGCATATTTTAAAAGATGCGAAATTGGACGGGAAATGGATGAAGAGGACGGAAGAGAAGAAGAAGAGGAAGAGGAAGTGAAAGGAAGCGTAGCGAGAACGGATTTTATTACGAAAACCGATAAAGATATGTTGAGATACTATTATTATTTGACGCAAGGAATCGACGACGATTACGTAGGATCAATGAACGACGATCTTTTGCAAAATATTTTAAACGTCATCCCGTTGAAATGGCGACAAAAGTTTACGGTTCATCTGAACGGTTTGGTGAAAGAAGTGAAGGAAGAATATACGTTGAGCGTGAAAAAATCCGTGATTGAATTTGTTATCGGAGATTCGCTTTATGAGTCACTGAATCAGGTATGTACTTATGTTTCGATCGTTTCGAACCAGATTTAATACCACGATCTCGGATAGGTATACGAGTTAAGATAGCGTACAAGCGAGAAAGGGATTCAAGGGAAAATTGATGGGAAATCGCGTAATTTTCAGTTAGTCGCGTCGGGGGAAAGCAAGGCAATTGGAACGATTCGAGTTACAACGGAACACCCTGTTAATTATAGATGGAACAGGACAAGACTGGACGAGACGAATATGATTTATCGACCTGTCGTACGACGGATTTTCGATTATTGTTACCGAAAGTTCAGGTTGGTTTAATATTGAACAGATGTTGCGTCGAAGGAACGAATTAAGAAAAGGAGAAGAAAAAGTAAAAAGAAAAGGAAGCGATAACAACCAACCAAATAACACGTGTTTTTCTTTTCACGCATTGTCTCGAAATGTGGATCTTTGATGTAACGATAGGGATATCACACTGATAGATTGGAATACGTTGGCAACGCGCGGCATGTCGTATGACGTTACAACTTTCGAGGCAACCGTTTTACGCACGTGTCAGAAAATGAGGGAAGATCTGGCGAATAGCTGGTTGTCGAAGATTCGGAGCCTTTTATCCGCGGTACGAGACGAATGATCTTTAAGCGATACCAGCGATAGTCGGGATTTCATTTCGTTTAATATATCGTATATAACCCTGTTGCGCATTTAGGCCTATGAGAGAAACGAGATGCCGTGGATTAGTAACTTGTCGAAACGTCAAAGATTTTTCAATTGCATCGCGCTTATCATGGAAGAACAAATGCGAAGATTTTATTTGCACTCGGTAGAAGATTACGTGAATTGCCTTCGTAAAAGAGTGAGTTTTCTCTTTTTCCTCTTCTAAACAGTTAAATTGAAAAAAAAAAAGTGGAAAGGAAATTGTATTTTACTTCGTTGAAAGTAAGTTGTATTTTAGAGCGATTCGAAGGTGTCGTTGAATTGAGAAATGAATGTTGTATACAGGGTATATGTTGCGGGTTAGATATAAAAGTTGCAGTAAGGAACGGGGTAGTCACGTTCGAGCCGCCGTTCAAAACCTTCGTGGAAACGTTGTCGACGATTATGTATTCGCTGCGGGAAGCTGTCTCCGCGCTGCCGCGCGTCGAAACGTTATTGCCGAACACGTATTCCGTCGAATCCGAACACAAGCTGCTCGAGGTATGTATTCCATTTATTTAATCGATCTTGAACGATTGATCGAACAGCTGTTCGCAAAAACTTGTCAACGTCGATTGAAACGAAATAATTATTTTGATTGATTAACGAAGCCAAGCGTATCGGAACACCATTTGAAAAGTTACGCCGACGAGATCTCGAAATTGATCGACGGGGAGAAGGTCGAAGCTACGCTGCAACTCCGAGAATTTGATAAGTACGAGAATTTTATAAACGATACGGAAATGAAAAAGATCGAAGAATTTCTAAGCGCGTCCGATACGGCTGAAAATTTTGAACGTTACCGAAATCTGATCGAGCACTACGATCGTATATCCGAACGAGTGAAACTAGAATTTCCACGAACCAGTTTCCACGGATTTTTCGTGGTGCATCGAGGAGATCTGATCCGACACATCTCGTCAGCGGCTCGAAAACTCAAGGAAGAGTTAATTTCTAAAATGATCAGCGAATATCAAAAAAAATCTCGAGCGTAAGGCTTTTGTTTCCATATATCAACATAATTGTAAATATACATATAATAAATATAAAATTGAAAGAAATTACTGTATAGAATTGTGCGATAGGGTAGGGAACGCGTATCAACATATCGTGGATCGTGCGCAAACCGTCCCAGCGAACACCGAAGAACTGATAAAGCTTACGGAGTTTATACGTGTGACCAAAACCGAAACGGCTAGTCAACTGGAAGAGCAACTCGGACAAATCATCAAATACATAGTTTTCTTGTCCGATTATTCGGTTCTGACAGTTATCCACCTGAAAACTAATAACTTTGCTTTTCAATGGTAACTAAAAGTACATAATACGCGAGGAAATGGTCGTGACCGAAGCTAAAGATTCTTTACGCGCGTTTCCGTAACCTCAGGTATCGTAAACTTCCGGAAATATTTCAACGTCACGAAGAAATCGTCGCGAGCAAGACTGGTGAATTTCAGAAGAATCTTAAAAAGCGAATCGAGCAATTCGAACGAGATCTCGAAACGTACGCGAAACGATGCGACGAGCTACAATATTGGGGTAACATCGAAGAGATCGATCGATACAAGAAAAAAGCAGATCGTTTGGAGAAAAAACTGATCGACGCAATGGATATGATCGATAGATTTAACGAGGAAGAAACGTTGTTTGGTTGGGAAATGTCGCAATATCCGCTACGAAAAGCGGTAGGTGATGAACCTTTCAACTATGCTATTACCGTTACTATTACTACTACTATTATTATTTTGTCGAATAATGCGTGTTCGTGAGCCTGTGTTCGTAGACAGCGGACAAACTGTCACCGTACAAGAAACTGTATGACGCTGCTTGCGATTTTCTGGCCAACTACGATGCGTGGATGAATTCCGTGATCGGTTATCACGAGCCAGAGGACATCGAGACCGAGGCGGGAACAGCTTACCGTACGATCTACAGATTGGAGAGATCTATTCAAGAGCCGATAGCGAGAAAGCTTGCAGAAACGATTCGCATAAAAATTGAAGAATTCAGGGAACATATGCCCGTGATATCTACTCTTGGAAATCCTTCGATGAAGGCTCGTCATTGGGAACAAGTATCGGAAATTGTTGGCTTCCCCATAAAGATCGATCAATCGATGACCCTTGCCAAGGTAGGATAATTACGTACAATTGGATCTTCTTTTTCTTCGCCTGCCGATTATGGGCCGATTTTATTGGTCGTAGATACTCGATTACGGCTTAGCCGACTACGTGCCGAAATTCGAAGCGATATCGGAAGCAGCGACGAAAGAAGGTAGTCTAGAGAAGGCTTTGCTTCGAATGCATCTCGATTGGGCGGAGATCGCGTTCACCGTAAACCCTTATCGCGATACTGGTACCTACGTGATCGCCAGCGTCGACGACATACAATTGCTTTTGGACGATCATTTGACCAAAGCTCAAACTATGAAGAATTCCCTTTACATTAAGCCGTTCGAGAAAGAAACTTTGTGAGTAAAGTATTCCTGGGACAAACATCGAGTATCGTTATTCTTTATCGTTTCTCGTGCATCTTTGCCTATTACTTTCAGAGAATGGGAATCAAAATTACACTTGTTACAAGATATCATGGATTATTGGCTACAAGTTCAGGCAACTTGGATGTACTTGGAACCGATATTTTCCTCGGCTGACATACAACAACAAATGCCGGAGGAAGGTCGACGATTTAACGCCGTCGACAAAGTACGTCTCCGTTCCCGTACAAATCTCTTTCTGTTTTTTTCGCTCTTGTTTTTATCCCAGTATGTTCGATTCGATTACTCTTATTTCGCTCGAATGATAAAAATAATCAGACGATAATAATAGATTTGGAAAGAAGTTATGTTGCTGGTATCCGCGGACCCCCGAGTTATGTCGGTTATTGGAATAGACAAGATGCTCGAGCGATTGAAAAAATGTTCAAACTTGCTCGAATTGATCCAAAAAGGGTTGGCAGCCTACTTGGACAAGAAGAGATTGTATTTCCCACGATTCTTTTTCCTCTCGAACGACGAGCTCCTGGAAATATTGTCGGAAACGAAGGATCCTACCAGGTAGAAATCGTTATAGTGGTTAGCGCTTGTACATAGTGTATTCCGCGAGTGGCTTCGGAACGTACGATTAACGCGTTATTTGTGGAATCGCCGCGATAGGGTGCAACCGCATCTGAAGAAATGTTTCGAAGGTATCGCGCGTTTAAGTTTCACGTACGATATGGAGATAACGTCGATGATATCGTCCGAGGGAGAGAAGATTGTTCTCGAGGATATCGTTGACACGGTAGCAGCTCGAGGTCAAGTGGAGAAGTGGCTGTTGGATCTTGAACGAGCTATGAAGAAAAGCGTCAGAGCGCAGGTAATTCTGGGTAGGCACGTAAGAGAAAAGAGAAATGCTTCGAACATCGATGCGTTCGAAATTACAGGTAATCGAATCGAAGAACGCGTTCTTGAAACAAGTCAGATCGAAGTGGGCGTTACAATGGCCTGGTCAAACTATTCTCTGCGTGAGTAAGATGTATTGGACTGCCGACGTGACCAAAGCGCTATCGACGAAATCTCTACACGAATTGAGCAATTATGTGGATACCTGTACACGCGAACTGAACGAGATAGTAAAGTTGGTTCGTGGAAAGTTGTCGAAGCAGAATCGTACAACCTTAGGTACGATCCTAAAAGTCTTAGGTATCTTAGTATCTTAGATTAAATCGTTTTTACGCGATTATTCGTTTCAGAGGCATTGGTTACGCTGGACGTTCATAGCCGAGATGTCGTCGCGGGATTGGTCGCGCAAAAGGTTAACGATGTAACCGATTTCAATTGGTTAGCTCAAATGAGATACTATTGGATGGTAATCGAAACGTCTGATCCGATACGCGTTCACCTACCGTAACTCGGCTTCACCGATTTCTTTTTCGTTATTACAGGATAACGATTTATGGACAACGATGATAAATACGTCGCTAAAGTACGCCTACGAGTATTTGGGCAACACTTCTAGGCTGGTGATAACGCCATTGACTGACAGATGTTACCGAACGTTATTCAGCGCGTTGAGTTTGCACCTCGGCGGTGCACCCGAGGGTCCGGCTGGAACCGGTAAAACCGAAACGACTAAGGACTTGGCTAAGGCCGTAGCTAAGCAATGCGTTGTTTTCAATTGTTCCGAAGGTCTCGATTATATTGCGTTGGGTAAATTTTTTAAGGTACGAAGATCCGCGGTTAATTTAGCGACAGGATAGCGATAGGATGCGTCTGAGTCAGGTGGGAAATTGATAAATTCAGGGATTGGCGAGTAGCGGCGCGTGGTCTTGTTTCGACGAATTTAACAGGATCGATCTGGAAGTACTGTCGGTGGTGGCACAACAAATTTTAACGATTCAACGGGCTATTAACGCCGGACTGGAAGACATGGTTTTCGAAGGTACCGAAATCAACTTGGACCCTACCTGTGCTGTTTTCATTACGATGAATCCAGGATACGCCGGAAGATCCGAACTGCCGGATAATTTAAAGGCCCTTTTTCGACCAGTTGCAATGATGGTCAGTACGAAGGAATAAATACGCGAAACGATTAATTTCTACGGCCGGATTGATTTCTACATCCTCTTAGGTACCAGATTATGCTTTGATAGCCGAAAACACGTTGTATTCGTACGGATTTTACGAGGCTCGGCCGCTCTCTGTAAAGATCGTCACTGCCTATAGATTATGCTCGGAACAACTGTCCAGTCAGAATCATTACGATTACGGGATGAGAGCGGTGAAATCTGTTCTAGTAGCGGCTGGAAATTTAAAAGTGAAATACGGCGAAGAATCCGAAGATATTCTAGTGTTGCGGAGCGTCAAGGACGTGAATTTACCAAAATTTCTAAAGGAAGATATACCGCTGTTTAATGTACGTGCAGTGCAGCCCGATTAAAAATGTACGGCCTAAAAAATCATTCGAATTTATATCTCGATCTAGGGTATCGCATCGGACCTTTTTCCTGGAGTTCGACTTCCGGAACCAGATTACACCGACTTGAATGCGTGCGTTCGCGACGCATGCGAGAGCTCCAAGTTGCAATGTACCCCCGTCTTTTTGGAGAAAATACAGCAAATATACGAAATGATGATTGTTCGGCATGGATTCATGCTCGTCGGTTATCCGTTCGCCGGTAAAAGTACGGCGTATAACGTTTTGGCCGATGCCCTGAAGCTGTGCGAGCAACGAGTAAAGTCTCCTCATTTTTTCTTCGGCCGATTCGTTTCCGGGAACGCGATAAGAAACGCGAATAAATTTTTAGGGGCTGATGAACGAGCATGCCGTAGAAAAGTTCGTGATAAATCCGAAAGCCGTTACGTTGGCTCATTTGTATGGAGAATTCGATCCGGTGTCGCACGAATGGTCCGATGGAGTTTTAGCGATTAGTTATCGTGCTTTTGCGACTTCCGATAACGATAATAGGAAGTGGCTGATCTTCGACGGGCCCGTCGACGCGGTATGGATAGAAAGCATGAACACGGTACTCGACGATAACAAAAAGCTTTGTTTGATGAGCGGAGAAATTATTCAGCTGGCGCCATCGACTAGCTTGATCTTCGAAACTATGGATTTAGAAGCAGCATCGCCTGCTACCGTTTCTCGTTGCGGTACGAGATTTATTATATTATATAGTACCGTAACGGTACGAGGTTTATTATATGTATATAAATCATCTGTTTGCATAAGAATAGGAATGATCTACATGGAACCAGATGCGCTCGGTTGGGATCCTTTGCTCAAGTCGTGGATAGCCAAAACTCCGGACGTAATCGACGAATGGTTAAACGACTTTCTATATCAATCGCTCTTTCGAAGATTTTGCGATCCTTTGCTCCATTGGTTGCATCGCGACAGCGTTAAGGTTTTTAAGCGACTTGCTTCTTTTTCGTTATCGTTATTTATTTATATTTATAATTATTACCAAAATATTACCAAACATTCGAGAGAATTTAATTGTTCACGCATCGTAGAGAATATGCCCGATGTCGGACTCGAATCTGATACGCACGCTGACTTATCTGATGGACTGTTTCATCGACGAATATCGCGACGAGAAGATCGCTAAGAACATGAACGAGTTAGATCTCCGTGCGCAACTAGAGGTTAGATCAAATAATATTTAACGCGTTCACCAAATCGTTTCGGTCGACTTCTGAATCGGTGATGGGTAATAACTCGGGGTGTACGAACACTTTTTTTATCGTAAAAAAACTCTCGAACGTTAATTACATCTTGTAAGATTTGTCTCGTAACGTTTCCAGGGTTCGTTTTTCTTCTCGTGCATTTGGGCGCTCGGTGGTACTTTAACCGTTGCCTCCAGAGAATCGTTCAGCATGCTGTTCCGCGGCTTTCTCGAGAAAAATTTTCCGTTAAATTTGATGGAAACGTTCGAATTGGTGGAACCGATACAGCCGCCTCTCAGGCCGTACATATTCGTCATGCCACGGGATAACCTGGTGTTCGATTATAGATTCATCAAAGAGGTAAGTAAACGCGAAAAAGAAGTCGGAAGAAGAAAGAGAGGGAAATTGTACAGTTATGTATTTACTCGATTCGTTGTCGTTGCAGGGCAAAGGGAAATGGAGGTTGTGGTCCGACGAGTTGCTCGATAGTCCGCCGATACCTCGCGACATCCCGGTCAATCAAATAATAGTACCAACGATCGAAACGATCAGGTACACGGCTCTGTTTCGGTTGTTGATAGGCAACGGGAAACCCGTGTTATTCGTTGGCCCGACTGGCACTGGAAAATCAGTCTACGTGGTAGACTTTCTGTTAAGGAAGAACGATCCCGCGGTGAACAAACCGTTGATTATCAACTTTTCCGCGCAAACGACAGTGAAGCAAACGCAGGACACGATCATGGGCAAATTGGATCGACGACGAAAAGGGGTTTTCGGGGCGCCGATAGGTAAACGTTGGATCGTGTTCGTCGACGATGTTTCGATGCCTACGAAAGAAACGTACGGAGCGCAACCACCGGTCGAACTTTTACGACAGTGGTTAGATCACGGAGAATGGTAGGATGCTGCTTCGTTCCGTTCGGGACCGCATCGTCCGACAGAAATTCTTTTCAACCTGCTTAAGCTTGCTCTTTGGCTCAGGTTCGACACGAAGGATAAAACGATGATCAAACTGATCGACGTTATTTTAATGTGCGCCATGGGTCCACCGGTTGCCGGCGGAAGAGACGTTACGCCTCGATTTAAAAGACATTTTGCCGTTCTAACGATATCGGAATTCGACGACGAAGTAATGACGATGATATTCAGCAAAATTATTCTCTGGCATATCGATACGAGGTTCGTACGTTTTGTAATTTCGAAAATCTTGACGATTTCGAAGAGAAACGGTGGTATACTTTTCAGAGGATTCGGCAAAGAGTTCGATCCATGCATCGACGAAATCGTCCTGGCCACGTTGGACGTGTACAAAGAAAGTCTTGGCAATCTGTTACCGACACCTGCCAAGTGTCACTACGTTTTCAATCTTCGCGATTTCTCCAGAGTGATACAGGTCTTTCTTGTATTTTTCTTTATCTAAACAAAGTAACTAAAACGTTTCGAGTTATTTTCTAACTGATCGTCTAACGGAGGTTCGCGATACTGGTTGTCAGGGTGTTCTGTTATCGGTTCCGGAATCGACGCCAACCTTATCGAACATGAGGAGACTCTGGGTTCACGAAATACTTCGAGTCTTTGGAGACCGTTTGACAGACCGGGACGACTCCTCCTGGTTGGTGGGGCAAATTCGCGTTACCTTGAAGAGACGCATGGACGTGATAATGGAACAACTGTTCGAGGATCTTCGTTCGCCGAAGGAGCAAGTAAATTGTTCGTTTCTGTTGTTATTGTACGCGCGTGCATTTTCATCGTTATGTTGCAGGAACCGATCACCGATGAACATCTTCGCAACTTGGTGTACTGCGATTTCGCGGACACGAGAATGGACGTTCGACTTTATCAAGAAGTACCGGATCTCGAACGCTTACGAGAAATAGTGGAAAATTACTTGACCGAGTACAACGCGATGAGCCGAAAACCCATGAATTTGGTTTTATTTCGGTAAGCGCGAAACTTAGTAAAGCTTAGTATAAAGGTGGATCGAACACGTGGAAAGAATCGCGTGTATGCCTTCTTCGATGGCAGATTCGCCATCGAACATTTGTCGCGCATCTGTCGCATCATCAAGCAGCCGCGAAGTCACGCGCTTCTAGTCGGAGTCGGCGGTACTGGAAGACGGTCATTGACCAGATTGGCCTCGCACATATCCGATTACGACGTTTTTCAAATCGAAGTCACTCAACGATACGGAGTGTTCGAGTGGCACGAAGACTTGAAAGATATTCTGAAACGCGTAACAATGACCGAACTTCATTCGACCTTTCTTTTCTCCGACACTCAAATCAAACAGGAGAGTTTTCTCGAAGATATCAGCAACATCCTTAATTCCGGCGAGGTAAGCCTTTTCTATCGCTTCTTCCGATATATTCTACCATGACCGCTCGAGCTCGATCTGCCCTATAAAAATAGGTACCAAACATATTCACCGTGGACGAATTGGCGGAGATATGCGAACGAATGAGACAAATAGACAAACAACGGGACCGATCGGTACAAACGGACGGAAGTCCGGTGGCTTTGTTCAATTTTTTCGTTCAGATAGTACGAGATCAACTGCACTTGGTGATAGTAGCGTCACCGATCGGCAGTCATTTTCGCGATCGAATCAGAAAATTTCCAGCCTTGGTCAATTGTTGTACCATCGATTGGCTTCAGGTATGAACAACTTCGTTTTTATTTTCCTACTTTTAATCGGTTTTCCTTTTTAATTGGTTAAACCTTGAAAACTGTTCAACATTTTCTGTTCAACTGTTGAACTGTTATTTTTTATCCTTCTAATAACGTTTTTAAATCGGAGCATTTGCCGATTCTCTATGGATTGATTTTTCAAGCCATGGCCCGACGACGCTTTGCTCGCGGTCGCGACCAGATTTCTCTCGGCGATCGACCTAACTGACCAGGAAAGAATCGCCGGTATCGACATGTGCCAATTCTTTCATGTGTCCGCGGAAAATTTGAGCACAGAGTTTTTCGCGCGATCGAACAGGCGCGTGTACGTAACCCCGACCTCGTACCTCGAGATGATAAACACCTTCAAGGATTTGTTGGACAAGAAACGTCGGTAAGTAGTAAAATCGCTTTGGCACGCTTTCGATCGTGCAATGAACGACTACATGACGGAATAGGAGTATCATGAACGCGAAAACTCGCTACGAACGCGGTTTGGGTCAATTGGACGAGACGCAAGGGCAAGTGGTGGCGATGCAAGACACTCTGAAATCGTTGAGACCGCAATTGATCGTGGCTACCAAAGAGGTGCAGCAGATGCTGCTGGACGTAGATAGGGAGAGGCAAGAGGTGGCAGAGTTCGAAAGTACAGTGAAGGTTGACGAGAACGCGGCCCAGGTGAGACAAGCAGAAACGAGCCTGGTATCGACGTAACGCTCTCGCGACGATATGAGTGCTTCAATTTGCGCGTAGGTATACGCGAGCGAAGCGGCTGCTATCAAAGCGGAATGCGACGCGGACTTGGCCGAAGCGATGCCGATCTTAAAACGCGCGCAAGCCGCTCTGGACACGTTGACCACGGCCGATATCGCCGTCGTCCGAGCGATGAAGAAACCTCCGCAAGGGGTTAGACTGATCGTCGAAAGCATTTGCGTTCTCAAGGTTTTCTCTTAGCACCTTCACCTTTGCTTTTCGCGAGCTTCTATGCTTCGAACTTTCCATCTTCTGCTTTCTCTATTTTCTTCTCCTTTGCTTTCTCGGCTATATCCGCGTCGCGTAGCAAGTGAAACCGGAAAGAATCCAACAACCCGATGGCAGTTTCGTCGAGGATTATTGGAAAGCGGCCCTCCGAATGCTCAGCGACGCCAGGTTTCTCGATTCGTTGCTCAACTTCGACAAAGACAACATCCCCGACAGCGTGATAGAGAAAATTCGTAAAACGTATTTGACCAATCCGGACTTCGACCCCGAAAAGATAAAAAAAGTATCGACGGCGTGCGAAGGATTGTGCCGATGGGTGTACGCGATGTCCGAATACGACAAAGTGTCGAAAGTCGTTGCCCCGAAAAGAGCAGCTTTGGCGAAAGCGCAACAGGTTTACGATCAAGCCATGGAGACTCTTCAAGCGAAACGGGAGCAACTTTTACGCGTGCAGGTTCGAAATTATTTGCAATTATTGTTATTGTCAAACGTTTCGTCGTAAAAATGTTTCGCTGTTTGTCGATTTTTACCGTGACTCGTATTCCGAGTGCAGGAGAAATTGAAAGCGTTGGAAGAACTTTTGGAACAAAGAAGAATAGCTTTCCAAGAAATGTCCGACAAAGTAACGGATTGCGAAACGAAATTGAAGCGCGCCGAAGAATTGATCGGAGGATTAGGCGGAGAATACGCGCGTTGGTCTCGTACAGCGATGGAATTAGGAGAGAGGTTCGATTTCCGTAACGTAACTCGATTTATACTCGATTTCTGCTTGATTCCTTATACGAATATACTTATTCGTATTTGCAGGTACCACCGATTGACCGGTGATGTGGTGATCGCTTCCGGCGTAGTCGCGTATCTCGGCCCATTCACGATGCCGTTTCGAATCGAACAAATCTCTGTCTGGATACAGCGTTGCACCGATTTACGAGTAATTTGCAGTACGGATTTTCAGTTACGCGATATTCTCGGGGATCCGGTTCTAATAAGATCTTGGAATATTTTCGGTCTACCGAACGACACCTACTCCATCGACAATGCTATCATTATCGTGTACGCGTATTTTTCCCTAGCATTTAGCCTCTTCTTCCTCTCTTTCTGTTCTCGTTTTTTCTGTCTCGCTAATTACGGCGCGCACGACTGTACAGAAATGCAAGAAGATGGCCACTGATGATAGATCCCCAGGGTCAGGCGAACAGATGGATTAAGAATATGGAAAGGACTAATAACTTGAACGTTGTTCGATCGACTCAGCCTGATTTTGCTCGATTAGTAGAAAACGCGCTGCAATTTGGCCAGCCGGTACTTCTCGAGCACATCGGCGAAGAAATAGAAGCTATCCTTGAACCGGTTCTGCTGAAAGAAACGTTTAGGCAGGGTGGTGCGGTTTGTATAAAATTTGGCGATACCATCGTCGAATATAGCGAGAGTTTCAGGTAATCGATTTACTCGTGTGCGTACACGCGTCGGCTCGAAATAACGTTACTTTCGCTTTCCAGATTGTATATTACCACCAGACTACGAAATCCACATTATTTACCAGAGACAGCGGTCAAAGTAACGTTATTGAACTTTATGATTACGCCGACCGGACTGGAAGACCAGTTATTGGGTATCGTTGTCGCGAAGGAAAGACCGGACTTGGAGTCCGAGAAAAACGCTTTGATAGTCCAGGGAGCCGAGAACAAACGGTACGTACGACACTCTATCGATTGTATTCTTCACCCTTTAATCGTGTTTGCTCGTTCAAGGCTTCTTCAAGAAACGGAGGACAAAATTCTAGAGATCCTGTCGATAGCGGAAGGTAATTTATTGGACGACGAGGTAGCCGTCGAGGTTTTAACTTCGTCCAAGAACCTAAGTACAGACATTCAAACGAAACAGGCGGCTGCCGAGCAAACGGAAAAATCGATCGACGATGCCAGGTTACAATATGCCTCAATCGCTGTATATTCGACCGTACTTTTCTTCGCCATCGGTACGTCGATCTTGCTATGTCGTTTCTGGTTTATCCATTGCTGTGTACATAGCTTGGTAAAAAATAATCGGACGTTTCGTTTCAGCCGTGTTAGCGAACGTCGATCCCATGTATCAGTATTCGTTGACATGGTTTATCAATTTATTCGAATTGGCTATAGATAATACAGAACCAGCGGAAACGGTTGAAAAGCGATTGACCGATCTCACCGAATACTTTACGTACTCTCTTTACGCGAATGTCTGTAGATCCTTGTTCGAAAAAGACAAGCTATTATTTTCCCTGTTATTGGCGATCAATTTGCTGAAACAACGGGGCAAACTATCTTCGTCTCAGTGGATATTTTTACTAACGGGCGGAATCGGTCTCGATCATCCGTACGCGAATCCAACCACGTGGCTTCCGATCAAGCAGTGGAACGAATTATGCAATCTGGACAGCGTCCAAGATTTCGTGGTTAGTCGATGAATTACCGAACGACAACAAACTCTTTGTAAAGAGGTATTTGGTATATTTCGATTTTCGACTGCTTTCCTTTAACGCGTTTTCGTTCGAACAGGGCATTCGAGAAACGTTTACGCGAAATGTCCAACAGTGGAGAGAGTTGTTCGACTCGAAAGAACCGCAAAACGAGACAATTCCTTCGCCGTTTCATCGCTTGGACTCGTTCAAAAGACTCTTGATATTGAGATGCATTCGCCCCGACAAGGTCATTCCAGCGGTACAAAAGTTCGTCGAAGGTAACGCGTTGCTTTATCGTCTTATTCGGTGTAACGAGAACTCTTTCTACGACTTCCGCGTTTTAATATCGATACCGCCGTTTTTCCAGAGGAACTGGGTCCACGATTCGTCGAACCGCCACCATTCGATTTACCTTCGACTTACGCCGATTCGAACTGTTGCACACCGTTGATATTCATCTTGACACCCGGTACCGATCCGGCTCAGTTGTTGCTAGCGTTCGCGGACGAACAGGGTTACAGCGCGAATCGTCTGTTTTATTTGTCCTTAGGTCAAGGTAAGCATCTCCTATCCTCTCTATCTTCTATCTATGTAGATTTGTCAATAATAAGATTACCTAGTTAACAAGGTGGTGACAACCGACGCGTTACAGGTCAGGGACCGATCGCAGAGGCAACCATTCAAAATGCCGTGATGGTCGGTAACTGGGTGGTTTTGCAAAATTGCCACTTAGCGATTAGTTGGATGAGCACTTTGGAAAGTATCTGCGAAGGCTTGTTACCCGACACGATTCACTCGGAATTTCGATTGTGGCTAACGAGTTATCCGTCCGAACACTTTCCATCCTCGGTTCTGGAAAACGGTATCAAAATAACCAACGAACCACCCAAAGGTCTCAGGGCTAATATCCTTAGATCGTACGCGAGCGATCCTATCAGTGATCCGGACTTTTTTGAATCTTGCGCTCAGCCGGATTATTTCAAGAAACTTTTGTTTTCGTTGTGTTTCTTTCACGCGGTCGTGCAAGAAAGACGAAAATTCGGTCCAATCGGTTGGAATATCTGTTATGAATTTAACGAAACCGACCTTCGAATCAGCGTTTTACAATTGCATTTGTTCCTCGACCAATTCGAGGACGTAAGGTTCGATGCCATCAACTATCTCACCGGAGAATGTAATTACGGTGGAAGGGTGACCGACGATTGGGATCGCAGAACGTTGAACACTATCCTGTCCAAATTTTATTGCGAGTAAGTGAAACTTGTCCTCTGCAACGATGCGTTAGCGCATTTATCGAAGTGTCTATCGGGAATAAAATTTTTATTCTCGTTTTTCAGAGAGTTACTCACCGATAAAATCTATTATTTCGATGAAACTTCGACAATTTATTATGCTCCAAACTTGCGAGAATACGAAGCCTACGTGGAATATACCAAAGATTTACCTGCCATTACCGAACCAAGCGTTTTCGGTATGAACGAGAACGCTGATATCGTCATGCACCAGCACGAAACGAATCTCCTCTTCTCCTCGCTTCTGCTAACTCAGGTAGATTTCCTATGTTTTTGCGATACGTCTAGGTTTCATTATATCATTAATCGTTCATTCTTTTATTTAACTATCGGAACGATACCTTTCTTCAGGATTGTGTGGTATGTATACGCCGTCCCGTTCTACTCTATATGTATACACTGTGTATGTATAGAGTCGAAATATCTTTGAGAGAAGTGAAATTATTAAGAAAATGTTTTTGCGATAGTTTTTTCCCGTTGTTTTAAATAATTAAATAAGATTCTTCGTTCTAACGTTATACATATAATGTCGGATAATGATTCGTTTAACGATAATAACTTGACTATAATTACATAACCGATCCACTAATGTTCTTCGTTTCTCCCAGGAAACCGTGGAATCGGGAACCGAGCAAACGTCGAACGATGAAATAGTATTTAAAATTGCGAGCGATATTTTACAGAGACTGCCAGACGATTATGATATTTCGTTATCGCTGAAAAAGTATCCGATGTCTTACGAACAAAGTATGAATACCGTTTTGGTACAAGAAATGGGCAGATTTAATAGACTTATCGGTTGCGTTCGAACCAGCCTACAAAGTATTAAACGAGCCATCAAAGGTGTATATAATACATGCGATCGATTTTCCGCAATTTTCTATCTTGCCTCGTATCTGTTCCTGTCTTTATTTACTTGTTTATTATTCCATCTAGGTTTTATCGTAATGTCCTTTGAACTCGAAGATATTTATGACGCGATTCTGATTAATAAAATACCTGCTTTGTGGCTGCGATATTCGTATCCATCGTTGAAACCGCTTGGTAGTTATATTCGTGATTTATTAGATCGCTTGAGCTTCCTTCAAGTAAGATGTTATCCTTTTAAATTCTTAATCATTGTTATGCCAAAAATAAATAACTGACAAAAAATATCGTTATTTTTAGAAATGGTACGACGAGGGATCACCGATCGTTTATTGGATCTCGGGATTCTACTTTACTCAAGCATTTCTCACGGGAACTAGGCAAAATTATGCGAGAAAATATCAAATACCTATAGACCTGTTGGTTTTCGATTTTTTCGTGTTAAAAACCGACCTGAAACCTCGATCTCCTCCCGAGGATGGAGTTTATATACACGGATTATTTTTGGATGGCGCTAGATTCGACATGGAACAAATGACTTTGGATGAAAGTTTTCCTAAAGTTCTCTACGAAAGCATGCCTCCTGTAAGCGTACATTTTTTATTCTCTCTCTCTCTCTCTCTCTCTTTTATTCGCGCTTCTTTCCCTAATTTATTATTCCCGTTTCTATTATCAATACCTTGTTGTAGATGTGGCTACTTCCCATGACAAAAGAAAACATTAAGACGAAAGCAACGTACCTTTGTCCAGTGTACAAAACTAGCGAAAGAAGAGGCGTTTTGTCAACTACCGGACATTCTACCAATTTCGTTATCGCTATGACTTTACCTACCCTAAAATCTCCCAATCATTGGGTCATGAGAGGAGTAGCGTTACTTTGTCAACTTTCCGAGTAGAAACTCTCCTCCTCTCTTTCTTACAAGTTTATAAAATGATTGTCCCTTCGTTTCAAATTCCTATAGACGTTTTCTTTCTTATACTTCTTGATATACGTATTGTGTACCAGATACATATAGATGGTGATTAAGTTATGTAATTTCTATAGTTATTTTTAAGGACGTTTAAGGAGGTTTAAGGACGAACATTGCAACGACTGTAATATAATTTTTTAATTTAATAAAGATGTCAAAGATTCAGTTTCTCCGATGAATTAGACGAAAGGGAGAGTTCAATTTTCTTAGCATTTCCTTTCTTTCAAAATCGAAACGTGATTTTTTTACCGTGATATGTTCTCCTTCTTTCGTTTCCTAGGCTATTCGAATAATCGTTTGAATCTCCGTTTCAAGTACTTTATAGATATAATTAAATGATTCAACTGATAACGCGTTATATCGGTGTGAGCATATATACGTATCGGTTTACAATTAGCTTGGGCGAAAAGTGACGAAAGTGGACGAAAAGCGTCGAGGTAATCCATTTAAAGATGGCTTCCAGTTGAATCGGTCGACTGAGGCGCTATCGTGTAATGTCAGTTTGGGACATTCGGACGACGTTTGGACGTTGTGACTTCTAAAAGTTTCTTTTGGACCATTCGATCCAACTAACATCAACGTATCTAATTAAAAACTTCGCTTCGTAAAAAATGAATTAATTTTCAGTAACAGAAATGAATTGTCATCAAATATTAAGCGGAGCCTGTAATGCAGGTGATCGTTGCTACGCTGTCGGTTCCGTTGAAGGAATATCCTTCACTGTAAGTCATTTTTAATGTGGTCTTTCCTTAGATTTCTGCCAGTAATTGTTCGTAATTATGTTGCATTATGAAATAAAATAATCTATTGCAGGCATACGCGGCAGGTTGCAACATAGTAATCTTAGCCAGTAACTTTGAAAGAGTTCAAATTATTCCGGGAGCTGTACATAATTATATAAGAATTAGTTGTTTGGATTGTAGTACAGATACAGGAAAAATAGCAGCGGCGTATGAAAATCAAGTCTGTATTTTTGAGCCTACTCCGCTTATCCACAGCGCTTGCTCACACGTTTGTATCTTACCTTTCTGATATATCAGTTTATTTTCTATTTCCTACATATATATATATATATATTTCATTGTATTATACAATAATTTGTTTCGATAATATATAGCAATTGGAGTATCGATGGGTTCAAACTGGTAGTTTGACAACCGATTCGAATATCACTTCCCTATCATGGAATTTAGAAGGAACAAGATTGTTAACCGGCGGAGAACTTTTACAACTGTGGCATCAAAATATAATTCCGTTTCAGAAAGAACACGGTAAATTAGTTTTTCTTATTTAATACAAATATATTTGCACAGTTATTTTTACGTTTTGTTTTGTTTATGTATTTTCGCGTAATATCATTCTTCTTAATCAAACTAGTAAAATTATGTACAGCGGCAAAGGGGGATTTGTTGAAAACACAAGAAGGTATTGTAACTGGATGCGAAGAAAATGCTTCGAATGTCCTTCCAGACTGTGAGTTTGTTTATTTAGGAAGCGTATGCTCGTTTGCAAGGACTGACAATAATATTTGACCTTCCTCGATGAATATAATTTGAAAAATGTCTAAAGTGTGTTTGTAACATCTGTTAATGCGACTCTATCCAATGCTATTAAATGATTTTCACTTTTAAATAATCGATTGATTAAATCATGTTAGCTTCAATTATTATATTCGTAACGCATACTTAACGTTATCGCTTTGAGCTTCGACACCGTGTCAAAAACTTTAATGCTGATTGTCGATATGGAATAGAACCTAGAAATGATAATTTGTTTTCTGGCCAGTTTTACTCGCTCGAAAGATAGAATTTTTATGAAAGGACGTTGGTAGTATCTAATATAAAGAGGTTGTTCCGTTTCGACTATCCAAGATTCGTATCGATTAAATGAGTATGTTGTGAAAAAATGCACGAAATTGTTTTTCAGCTAGTACAGTTACGTTTTCGATTGGTGGTGATGCCGAAAGTCCAGCTCCTGGCGACACGAACACTGGAAACGAACCAGGGGCATGGAATTGTGTTTGGAAATGTCGTACAGCTACACCCGTACACCTTATGAGTTTTAGTCCGGACGGTACATTATTTGCAACGACGGGATTTAACGATAGATTAGTCAAGATATGGTTTGAAAATAAACAATGTAAGCTTCTTGTTTTTGTATTTACACGGGCGTGAATACGCGAACATGATTTCCATAGTATATCCTTATAGGTTTCGTTAATAAATTTAATTAAAATTGTTTAGTGTTCACGACAAGAAACATCGAACATACAAGTGTCTCGCAGTCGACGGGTAATGACAGTTACAGCTTCGTCTACATAGCTCATCCTCGAGCGGTGACGCATTTATCTTGGCGCAAGACTAGTAAACATATGCCCAAGTACGTAAACGTAATATTTTAAAATAAGCTTCCATCTATTCCCGTATAATACCTGGATTAACGAGAAAGAGTTATTCCTCGTTAATTCCCGTGAATCTTTTATGGTCTGTATAGGGGGGCTGTCTCCAATATGCTTGTTACATCCTGTCGAGATAATATCTGCCGAGTATGGGCAGAAACGATACCACCAGAAATCGAGGGTTTGGCTAATATGAGTCAATTCGAAGGTTCCGATAGGCATGGTCACCACGGAAAACACCGACATCATAATATGCATAAACATCGATTCATGCAACGGCTTAAGCATATGAAGTATGTGGTGTTCGTTTCTCAAGTTTCTTAACATTAATTCGTTATATATATTTAAATAATGTATTTATATACATTTTATAGAACGTGTTTCCACATTCGTCGACACGCGAAACAGCAACATCAGGCAGGACATGCGACAGCACCAACGTTACCAACATTACCTTCAACGTATTCGGTACATGATTTTCACAACAATTACCAAGGAACAGGTCAATATCCAGGAATGCATTTTCATTTGGCAGCTAGTATCAATGCTGAAACTGGTATGTTCGAGTTTCTACTTCTTTTTCTTTCGTCCTTTCGATGAATTTTTCTTAGAAATTTTTCGCGTAACAGATATACCACTGGTACCAAGTTTAATTACCGGGGATCCTGAAAGAGAGCCAAATTTTATTCTCCATTGGCTAAATAACAAAGAAATGTACTTTACGATGCAGGCGGAAAGTTTTTTACAAGAGCTTGCACGTATAGTGGTAGAGAAGGAGGAAGGGTTGCATCAACCAGATATAGATCGTACGGATCGCGCGGACCACGATTCCGAAGAAGAAGGTTTATCGAGTGAGTTTTTCGTTTTTCGAGTTCAACGAACGAATATATATGTATACGCGCGATAACGCGGTTGCGATACGTTGATAAAGAACGGTGATAAAGAAAATAATTCGATGATCATAAAATCGTAGAAAAGGGAGTACGATTGCAACCTGTACAAAAGTCAGGAGGTGCAATTCGATCGATGAGCCAGGAAGATCATAGTAGCGACGAACATCATACGACTCATACAGTTTCGTCGCATCATAGTTTACCGCACAGTGCACACTCTCACCAAAGTTTAAGGTACGATATCGTTAATGTTATGTTCTTTTCGTTATGTTCGTTGATGTAGTTTAATTTTGATTCATCTTGTTCGAATAGTAACACTACGTCCATAAATTCGATCGCAACGGATGTAACCTCTTCGATGAATCATGCCCCGGATTCCTTGGATACCAAAATAGAGACGTTATTACGCGATTGGCATCATAATCCGGATTTACTGTTTTCGATTCATCCGATAGACGGGAGCTTTTTAATTTGGCACATTGAATGGTTGGACGAATATCATCCAGGCTCGTTTCGACAGGCTCAAATATCATTTTCAACGCGAATACCTAACGCTTTTCCCCTCGGAGACGCTTCAACCATGAGTCACAGTGTATCGATGTACTCTCACAATACTGGCGGTCCGTTATTAAATATCAGAGAAGTGGCAAAGTCGTCCACGAAATCATCGAACGATGGTAAATTTCTTTTTTTTACTTAATACCGGATTCGATAATGTTCGATAAGATCGAATCCTTGGTACAGCGGTGAAACTTTCTTCTACCGAGAAATTTACGCGGTATCGGGTTTAACGAGATCGATATTTGTGGATATAGCTACCGAGATCACGACACCGTTACCGAGTTTGATCGAACAAGACGAAGAACAATCCACATTAACGTCGAAAGCAGGACAAGAACTGTTAAAAAATATCGAGAGCTCGTCCGATCCGAATCAAAATGTTAACAAAGAAAAAAATGTTCAATCGGAAAATGGGAAAACTGCGCAAGAAACGTTCAACGACTTATTGACTCATCCGAGTCCGATAGTTTCCATGGTGTCGAAGCATTCGAATGGAACCTTAAACTTATGGCAATTGACGTTTGCCGATAAAACAAAATTTTCACAAGTAATAGATCGTAGTATACGTAGCGTAAGAATTTTTCTGTACTCTGTACAATGTGATTTCTATAACAGGTATTAAGCATCGGACATGCCTCGAGAGCTTCGGGACATCGATTCCGTGTGAACGATATCACCTGTCATCCGGTCTTGCCTTTATTGGTGACAACGTCGCATCATAATATACCGGAATCCGGATCTCAATGTCGGAACACCGATTCGAACGAAAATATTGACGGCCAATCGGATTCTAATAAAATGACGAAAGATCTTTCTCCTACCGTAAGTAGAAGCGCGAAACGTTGTTCGGATTCCTGATGTTTTCGTTCGAATCGTTGAACGATCTTTTTGTTCAGGGATTCTGTAGCGAATTGATACTTTGGCGCGTCGACACGGTCGGACCTTTGTCAAAAAGCGGCGGTGTCTCCGAATTAGCTCGTATCAACTCTCCTGAAATCTCAGCGTTCAGTAACGTAGCGTGGATTCCTACGTTGCTGCCAAGTACTACCTTAGGTAATTTATCAAATTCTCCGAGCGCGTGTTTCGTTGCTAGCGACGGCGAGTGTTTAAGGGTCTATCAAGCCGTCATCGACGCTAGAACACTGCTGGCAGAGGTATCGAGTAGCGAGAGGCGAAGCAGAATGATGGTAAGCTTGGTGGATTTATTCGAACTGGAATTCTAACTGGATAAGTTGGAAAGTTTGTTTCCGATAATTGATTGCTTGTTACGCGGCTAGGATTCCATGACGAGTCTCTCGACGGATATCTCGTCGGACGATGGAATTAGGCATTCGATCCATGATAAAATAAAGATAGTGTCTCAACAGTCGACGGCCAGACCAGGTTGCGTTATACAGTTAGATGCTATTGCCGACGCGACGCACGTGAGTAATCGAAGAGAGGAAGATATCGATAAATTCGTCTTTATAACTTTGACACGTATCGATTTAGGATTGGCAAAATACACAATTTTTGCACGTATTCCAAGAACAATTGATTACCGGAGACAGGAACGAAGAGAAGCAAGCTGGTGTAGATACATCGATAAACGATTTAGGTTTAATGGAGTCTACTTTGGACGCAATGGTAGATTTGCAGCAGTCGGCAATTTTCGAGGAACCATTCTACATCGTTGTTTTAGAAAGAACGCAGCAGGGTACAACGGTGCACATGTGGCGTTTACTTATAGCTTCTCAGCCTGAAACTACCGGTAGATCGACCGAGAAATACGTAACATCGATATTCCGAACGTTATTACTCTGAATTACTCTGAATTTGTTGTTTTCTACAGGATTATCAGGTTCGATGATGTACGTTCCTGATTCTCATTTGGTACAAGACGAAGACGAGGAGGGAACACCGGCGCGATACAGTCACACGGAAGGTAGAAGATCTCGTAGACCGAGTCAAACTCGTCACGAGAACCAAGGCGAATCCGATACGTTTTTTCAAAGACGACCGAATCAGAGTAGTCACGTTCTAATCACGACCACGAAAGTGTGCACTCAAGAGTTACCATTGCCGGACGGAGTTGAGGTTCGAGTAAAAATCTTTCGTTTCTTTGCTTTATCGTAAAGGCAAATTAAAATGATTAAATACGAGTATTTCGACGTCGCGTAGGTAATACACGCGGCACCAGCCGCGGGACATTTGAGTAGCTCGTCTATATATCCTGCCTGTTTCGCGCCATACATCGTAGTGACAGCGTGTAGCGATAGCACGATACGTTTTTGGAAGTGTAAAGTGACAAAAAACCAACCTAACGACAAATTATATTACGAATGGTGCGAATGGGAAATGATACGAAAAGATCAGGAATCGACGATAGATATTACGGGTAAGCGTGACGCGACGAAAAGGCGAGAGAAAGGTAACGATCCAACGGGGAGTTAACAAGAATAATTGTTGGATAATATTTTAGGACAACCGTTGAACGTGAGCGCCGCATACAGCGGGCGTATCGCGTGCGCGTACAAATATGGTAAATCGTTTACGCGACCTACGAAAAGCGATCCGGACTCGCGATACGTGAATTTATGTGTCGCCATATACGAGTGTGAAAGTACCGGTGGGAGCGAATGGATTCTGGAGGATACAATACATTTAAAAAATATACATTTGCCGAGAATCCCGGTGGACCAGCATTTAGACTTGAGTTATTTGTACGATAGTAGATTTCTACAAAAGAAACAGAGGTTGACTCAAGTGTTACAAACCCTTAGCCACGAAGACGTAAGGTCACCGCGCAACGGAGAAAACGGAGAAAGTACAAAATCGAATGCAGGTAATATTGACTAAGCATCGACTAAGAACGAATCGAGTAACGGTTGAGTCGAGTTAAGCGTTGCCTCGCTAACGTAAACGTTTTTCTAAAGGTTTGTTGGCGGTTCCATCGTTCAGCACTCTGCAATCGTTACGGAAATCGATAATAGAGAACGGCAACACTTGTCCGCTTACGCAAAAGCATTTGGTTCAGCTGGACTGGGTATCGAAAGAGGACGGTTCGCATATTTTGACGGTTGCTGTTGGGTCGAAAATCATGCTGTTTACGCCGGTGTGTTCGGACCTTGCGCAGGCAAACATGAAAGCGATGAAAGAATCGCAAAGTAACAATCGACCGATATTACGGAAAGCTTCCTCGTTGGCACAGCCGCAATTCGTCGACGAAATACGTTGGATGAAATTGCGGAAAATCGAGTTGACTACGGCGGATGGTTTGCCCCCTTTACCGATGCAGATATCTTGGGTAAGGGACGGTATTCTGGTGGTCGGCATGGATTCAGAAATGCACGTTTACTCGCAATGGAAACCGAATCCGAAAAAGGATTGTTTCCACTCGAATTTGCAACACCAAGAATCGGACGAGTTTCAAGCGAGTCGTAACTTACGGGACGAGGATTTGCGAACGTTGGCGCACGAAACGTCGCAAAGACGACTGGCCAATGTATCGTCGATGCCGCACTTATCTCGGGTGAGCAGTATCAATTTAACGATGCTCGACGCGAAAAAGAAAAGGGGCATGCAAAGCGAAAACATCAGTTTCGATTATATGCCGGATTACGGACTGTTCGAGGCCTCGAGAATCGCTTGTCCCGTGTTGCCGCAGTATCATCCGAAGCAATTGATGGAGTTGTTGAACTCCGGTAAAATTCGATGGGTGAAAGCGATATTGTCGCATCTGGTTAGATGCATTGGAAGTTCGTGCTCGTTGAGGGCGGACGACGAGAGTCTTATGAAACAACGGGGCGGTGGATGGTCCCGTTCGAGGACGATGTCGGTCAGTTACGTTGGCACCACGTCCCCTCTCGAGCCGAGAGGTTCGACCACGCAGATACCCGAGGAGCTGACGTTGGATTACGCGGAAATCACTTCGATATCGCCGTTGCCTCTTTGGACTTTGTTGATCGCGGACAAAGAGACGAGTTTGCAGCATCAACACAAAACCGAGGATAAACACGATTACAACGAATTATTCGACAGCAATTTGGACGAAGGCGAATCGCTGGACGACATGTTGGAGGAAGATTATGATTGTTCGCGGCAGAAAGATAGGCGATCCTCGGTGCCGGAAAGACAAGGGATATCCCATTTCGGACCGAGACAAGGTCGATTGTTGTCTCGATTGTTGACGCACACTCATCTCCCTGGATTGTCCAGTCTCGATCAAATGCATTTGCTCGCACTGGCCGATACTGTGTCGACTTGCAACGTCGACTTTGCCGAAAGATTCGCGATAGATGCGGCCAAGAGCGCGATCGCGAAAGAAAATTTGACCGGTATTCCCGACGGAGAAACGGTCTCGGCCGATTCGCTGGACGATTGTGGTTTACGATTTTTATTAGCCATGAAGCATTACAATTATTTGATCCGTTGCCTTCCGCTTGCTCAGCGAGCGCATTTCCAGAAACAGGGTGTGTCTTCGAACAATCTCGTGTGGGCGTTTCACTCCGAATCCGAGGAAGAACTGCTAGGTTTGATACCCTCTTACGCGAAAGGCCAACCGAAATGGAGCGTTTTAAAGGAGCTGGGTATAGGTTGGTGGATCCGAAGTAACACCGTGTTGAAAAGATGCGTCGAGAAAATAGCCAAGGCGGCTTATCAGCAGAAACAAGATCCTCTAGATGCCGCCCTCTATTACCTGGCTATGAAAAAGAAGAATCTTGTTTGGGGCCTTTTCAGGAACAAGAGAGACGACAGAATGACCGCGTTCTTCGCGAACAATTTCACGGAGGATCGTTGGAGAAAAGCGGCTCTGAAGAACGCGTTCGCTCTACTCGGTAAACAGAGATTCGAACACGCCGCGGCATTCTTCTTACTGGCAGGAGCGCTCCGAGACGCGATCGAGGTATGCTTGAACAAACTGAGCGACATACAGTTGGCGATGGTAATCGCTAGACTCTACGAGGACGATACCACATCACCGAATATCAGACGACTGCTCTACGAAGAGATTTTAGGATGCGACAAGGACGGCCAGTATCAAGACACGAACAAAGCTCACCCGGATCCATTTTTGCGCAGCATGGCACTTTGGATTCTGAAAGATTACGCGGGATCGCTCAACACGTTATTGTTGACGAACGTTGGAACCTTGCACCCGCAATACAACGACGAATCCGATAAACCGGAAGGGACGACAGGTAATCGAATTTTCTGCAGAAGAGTAAACAAATTTCCCTCTTCCTGTCCTCGTTTATTTTACTCGTTGTCTTTTCCTTTGGTTCGTTTCAGTTTCCGCTAATCCGAACGTTTTCAACTTTTACGTCTACCTTCGTACGCATCCGTTGCTCATTAGGCAATACATCGCGTCCACCGCCCAGGACAAGAAGAAAGGTCATTCGGTAGTGATATCGGGATTCAGTTACGGTACAGAGACCAAATCTCAACCTGACAAACAACTGACGTTGGAGGACAGCATTACACCGTTGGAGAGACAATTGTATTTTACGACAGCGCATGCGCACTTCAAAGCGGGATGTCCGGCTCTTGCTCTCGAAGTTCTTTCTAAGCTACCAGGCAAAGTGATAGACGCGAATTACGAAGATTCGCCCAGTACGTAAAATTATACGCAATTGCTCAGTTTTCTGGATTTTTTTCCGTTTCTACTTTTTTCCTCCTCGCAACTTTTGCTTTCTTAGGCTTACTAAACAGCCCGAGTAAAACGAGAACGCAAGACTTTCAAATAGACACCGGTATCATCGCTTGGGACGACGAGCACTCGAAGCAAACGAACGACGATAAAGGTACAGTTTCGAATAAATTACTCTCTTTATTTTGAGCTAGATAAATTTTCGAGAATTTATCGTATCAGGTGCAGCAGCCGTTGATTGGTCTCAACCAGTGACGCGACAGACGGAGGATGAATTGGTGTTGAACTGGGACGACGACGACAACGCGGCCGATCACGACGATGCCGATAGTCCGCCTATGAGTATGAAGCTGGATAAAAAGTCAAGTAACGAGGATCTCGCGGAAGCGGAGAAAAACGGTAGTAGCGTTATTGAGAACGATGGTTCTTCGATGGTTATCCGAAGACACCATAAAGAAATAAAAATTATCTAATTTTTTTTTAGAAAAAACCGCGAAATCGGCGGTTCAACTAGATATCATGGCACAACAATTGAAATTCGTAGCTTGTTTAAAAATTTTGATGGAAGAATTGTCAACGTTGGCGACGGGTTTCGAAGTGGACGGTGGACAACTTCGATATCAATTGTACGTGTGGCTGGAACGAGAAGTGGAAGCTCTGAGACAGCTTTGCAGCTACAGCGTCAGTTCGGACGGAGACGCGAACAACGTCTCGGAATGTAAGAATGCCAGAAATTCGTTTGTCGACTTTGTTACGTGTCCGCTATTTTTCCAGATGAAGGTGGCATGGTAGACGACGCACAACCATATAGACCTGGCGAACAACCGACCTTACACGAAATATTAGTGGCAGACAAGTTGGACTTTGAAGCTAAGGTTCAACGAGCTGTCAGAAGAAAGAAGTGGTTAAAAGGTGAAATTAATATCGTTCGTGTTTTAGTTGTAGGTCTTCTTTCTTTTTCGATGTTGTCAAACGTCTGGTAAATGTGGTTGCAGCGAACGAAACGTTATTGCGAACGTTATTATCCTACTGTTCGTTGCACGGAGCGTCGGGTGGAGGTTTGGCATCTGTAAGAATGGAACTGGTTCTTCTGTTGCAAGAATTGCAGCAAGAAAAGACGCAGCAACAATTGCTTAGCCCTCTTCCGTTCCCAACCACGCTTCCACTGTTGAGCGCGAGCGTGGCATGTAATAAGACCGTCGTAGCGGATCCAGTTAGACATTTGCAGGTATGGTTGTCGTTTACGGCAAGAAAACTCGCTACTCGAGACGTTTTCTTCGATCCATGATTAACAACGAAATCTTATTTACAGTCTCTTGCTCATGACATGTTACAAACATTGGTGGAACTGCGCAATCCACCGATGCCAACAAGAAACACTCATTATTGCGAAGTATTCATAATGAGAGATTTAGCAGTGGCTTTGAGCGCTTGCATTTATCAGTCACTTTGCGATTCCGACACTTTTGTTATGAAGCATCATCAACCGGATAGGTAAAAACGGAACGATCATTTTCTCTCGTTTTATATTTAAATGGTGGGTTTGATCGAGTATCGTCGGGTTTTTACGCAGTTTTCCAGCCGTTGCCGAAATCGAAACGTTTTCCGGTGGACACTTGGTTGCCTCGAATCGTCACCATCGAAGATATTCGACCGACGATGGTGTATGCATTACAACGACGCCTTCGAAATGGCCAGGCGTGACCAATTTGCGTGCGCTGTTGGCCCGTGAGAAAGACGAGGACACGCCAAAATTGAACATTCTTCTTTGCGAAGCGTTCGTCGCCACTTACATGAGCTTGTTCGTTTATGCTCTTTGGAGTTGCGACAGTCACATTCTTTATAGGCTGGTGGGTCAACGTTTCGACAACAGTACTTGGTCTTGTCTTTTCGGAGGTGGAGTGAAAAAATTGTTACGCGTTGCGAGCACGAGCAGTCAGGTATGCCAATATCGGTGTTTCTTTATTTAAAATGTGACCTTGTCATTTGTTTATGGAAGACTCGTGGGTCGGAATTGTACGAAATCGGCAAATTACGCTAAGCTATATTGGATTAGACTAATCTCGTTCGTAGGCTAGTGGATCAGCGATGGTTGAAAAAATAGCAAGCAACAGCGGCGACGGTGGCTCGAGCGAAGCGCAAACGACCGCCGGCGCCATGTGGAATACCATGACGTCGTTGACGAGGCAGCGCGTTAAATTGAACATGAAACTATTGGCCCAGTTCACCGGTCAACAACCAAACATGAAAGAAGACAAACCAACGTACAGAGAACAATTCGTTTCGCCACAAATGAGTATGATATCGTATTTCTTAATGAAGGTAAGCCAGTCGATTCGAACGCGCGACTATGGATATTTTTCGGTGCTTTGATCAACTGTTCGTTTTTGTTGTCGGCGTAGCCGCAGATAGACAGCGAGTACGCGAACGAGATCGATTATGATTCGTCCGACTCGGCAGTGTCGGATTTAGACTCGTCCGAAGACGAGGAGGACGTGTTTGATACTAATTCGAAACCAAAGACTAAATTAAAGGACAATACAGAGCATTCGAATCCGAATTCGTACAGTTGGTGCGTGATGAGGCTCGCTATAGTGAAAATATTACAGCAACAACTACAAGACTTTTTAAACGTTGCCGGGATCGAGATGCAAGGTATCGGGCTGGAAAATTAAAGATGTTCGGTTGAATAAATCGAATCTCACCATTTTTACACCGTCCCGCGTTCGATTGCAGAGTTGCCCGTAAACAGTCCTCTGATTCACGGAACGATGGCCATCGTAGCGCAGTGGCAAGAAACGTTACGCGAAGAATTGGACAATAAGGGACCACCTTCGGTAAATTATATTCCTGGTTGCGCGCCGGATCCGACGCCAACGCCTGGCAAACCGGCGATTCACAAATATCGTTCGTTACTCGAAAAAGGCAATACACCGTTCAAGTAAGACTATCTAGTGACATTTTTCCTATTGATCGATCGCGTTCCTCGAAAATTCGTTAGAGTTTAACGGCTGTGCATTCTCGTGTTTAGCACGCGTTTGGCATCGGCGGCCCCCGC